CCCCCCCCCCCCCGAGCGCCTCCCCCCAGTGTATAAGATGCACCTCCATTTTTAGCTAAATTTTTAAAAGAAAAAGTAGCATCACGGCAAAATACAGTATTACATAGATTATCCACTTTTCAGTTAATGTATATCCCTGTGCCCCTGTGAGATTTCTTGAGAAGAAAGTTGGGCATGACGTGAGTCCCACAATCCTATGCCTGTCTACTTGGGAGTAGGACTCTGTGAACACTGCCCCCAGCCTGGGCTTTCAGCCTATGGGTGGCTCACCTGGGCGTGTGTCCCGCAGAATCACAGAATAGTGGAGTTGGGAGGGGCCAGAAGGCCACCCGGTGCGTCCTCTCCCCCCCCCCCTTGCAGGGTACTAAGTCACACCCTCCCATTCAGGGGTCTGTCCAGTCACTTTCTGAACGTCTCCAGCGAGGGAGAGCCCACAACTTCCGCAGGTAGCAGGTTCCCTTGTCGTACTGCTCTGACAGTCAGGAAACTCTTCCATCCAAGCCAGTACAGTTTCCTCCTGAGTAGACATGCAGCGTTGCCCCCACTCACACCCAGTTTGATAGGGATGGCCTCTGAGTGAATCTGAGCGGGAGGGTCCTGCAACGCAGCCCCCAGGGCGCCCCAAGCCAGGGGGCGGTGCCTGGGCAGGACGGGCGTGTCCTGAGGGGGCTGCGCGGAGCGTTCCCAGCGTGGCAGCCACCTGCACGGGATGCCTGGGCCCTGGGCTCCGGGCGCTGGAACGCCGCCTGCCGCACGCCTCTGCCCATCAGGCCAGGCCTCTGCAAAGGGGCTCTGGGTCCCAACGCGGCCGGAGAAGAGGCTGGCGAGGAGCAGCAGGACTGCCTCCACCACAGAGCCTCAGGCGTGGAGCCCCCTCGCTCAGGAGGTCACTCGGCCACCTCCCGTTCGAGATTGTGGGGTGTCTGTCCTGGGATCCATGGCCTCCCAGGCTGCTCATTCCACCTGCCACCCAATTTATTTGTGAAGTTTGGCTGCATTTCCCATGTTGCTTTCCAATTTTGTTCAACATGCATAAAATGCACAGTCACACTGGCCTGTAGCTGTGATCAGTTTTGAGAGAGAGAGAGAGAGAGAGAGAGAGAGAGAGAGAGAGAGAGAGAGAGAGAGAGAGTCAGATGCAATTTTGTTGGGCTTGTGACGTTTGTGGTTTTTCTGGCTCTTGGCCAGAAAAACACCCTCTTTGTCTCTTCACTGCTCCTTGCAGTGCGTATCCTCTTTCTCCCCTTGAAGCAGCTGCACGGTGTTCCTCCACCAAAAAGGCATCTCTGAAATTGCTGCTTCCTTGTGAGGACTGACAGTGTGAGGACTGACCCTAACCCTAACCCTTTTCTGCCAGGATTTATCTAAAATTTCCCAGCAGGACCACCCAGTGAATTGATGGGTGAATGGGAGACTGGATCTAGGTTTGCTCAGAGAAGACCCACTGAAACTACAGGACTTTAATCTCTCAGGATGAGCATGTCTGTTCTAAATAGGAGTACATTTCGGTCTAGCCCAGACCTTCTCAGACCAAATCCAAGGCTTTGTCTCCACTGGACAACCCATCATAGAACTAAAAGTATATATTCTGAAACATTTCCTAGGGAGAAAATGTGTTCTTTCTGGTGACCAACTTCATTGCTACTCCCAAGCAAGTCCAGGGCTTGTGCCCAGAGGTATGTCCCTGGCTCCGCTTTTCCCGCGACCTCACAGGCGTTCTGGCTTCATCTATGGCTTGGCTGCCGGTGCAAGCCAGGATGTCCCTGGAGCCCCCTCTGCTCTTCACGGGCTTCTGGCTTGTGCGCAGTGACATCCAGGTGGCATCAGAGGGAGCGCGATGAGCCCACACAGGCTTTCTGCTCTCAGGGTGTCACTCCTCTGGAGACTTAAAAGCATCTTCACAGTTTCCTTTGAAGGAACTACTTTTTGGGAGGAATTGGGGAGAGACACTATGGTGGCCTCCTCCAACCTGGTACCCTCCAGATTGTTGCACTACAGCTCCCATCATCCCCAACTGGGGTGGTTGGGGAAGGCTGGGCTATGGAATCTCAGAGAGAGAATTCGCCATACTGTGGCCAAATGGCAATTCTGAGAATCATTTGGGGAACTCCCGAATTAGTAGGCATGAGTGTTACTTTGCTCTGCCGAGATGATTGTGTCAGCACTGCTTGCGCTGTGCATGCGCCCTTTTCTTGAATGGTCACCAACTGCATTCTTTGCGTTCCTCGGCCATTCAGCCCCATTCTCAAATCCGCCCCCCACACGTGTCCCAGCCAGCTGAGGACATAGTGATGAAGTGTCCTGCAGCCCACAACAGCAAGTGCCACAATAAATGTGTTCATAGACTCATAGAAGAGGAGAGTTGGAAGGGGCCACGGCGGCCGTCGGATGGTCCAGCCCCCTGCTGGTGCAGGACACTAATTTACACCACCGCACTCACACGACTGTCATCGTGAAGTGTTGCTTTACTTTATTGCTAAAGGAATGTTTTTGCATAGATCCACTCTTCACTGCACATTTTCCGTGCCGCTCATCTTTTCTAGCACCCTTCTATTCCCAGTGGAAACTGCAAGGGAGATTTGGACTGCCTGGAGGGGCAGCCTGTGGTCCACGGAAATGGTGAGCAGACCCTACTTCGGCCCACCGACCCCAGCTTGGCTTCCCTTTGCCTGCTGTTAGGCTTGCTCTGCCCCTGGCATTTTTAGGGCCCTTCCAGGCTATCTCGCCCTCAGGACCCTCCAAGAGTCCTAGCCGGAAGTGAGCTGCTGGCTCTGTGCCCCAGGTCGCCCAGGAAGCAGCCAAAGCAGATCAGGGCCCTGGTCCTCCTGGTCTAGCAGAATCTGTTCTTGCCTGGAGTCAGTCCCCAGGATCAGCTGCGGAAGGGAAAAGGCTACTAGAAATGGCTTCCACTCAGAAGTTGAACCCAGGACCATCTGCATGACAAGCATCTGCTTTGCTCCCCTGCCCTGGTCCTGCCCCATTTCAGGACCTCTCCAAAATCTCCCGAGAGGAAACAGCTGTTTGGAGAGCTTCCCTTCCACCGGACATCCAAAGGCCCGAATGGGTGGGGTGGGGAGTATGTGCCAGGAGCAGGTGGGGGCAGCCGGGGAAAGGCATGGCTGAGCTGGGGGTTTCTTCGCCTGCAGGTATAAAAACAGGGAAGTGTGTCCAGTTTAATGCCTCTCATGGCACCTGCGAGGTCTACGGGTGGTGTCCAGTGGAAAGCAAGACCCTGCCCAGGTACCCAGCCCTTGTCCTGGCCTCTCCTTCAACTGCAGCTGCATCGAGCGTGGGGGATCTGCATGGAGATGTTGCAGCGCAGTGTCCTTGTTCAGGGTCCTGGACCCACCCCCCGTGTTTCCCTTGGCTTCCCCCCAACATTCAGCCAGTGTGCCTTGACCACCAAGTCCCCTCCGTCCTGATCTGGCTGCTCTGGGCTCGGGCTGCCCTGCCCCAAGAACCAGAGGTGGCACTTTTGCAAGGTCTGGGGCTCCCTGGGCCAGCGGATTCATTTTGTCCACAGATGCCTCTGCCTTGGCCATGTAGGGACCCAGCACGCAGAGAAGCAAGACTACGCCTCTGTCCCCAAACCCCACCAGAAGCAACCAGAATTCTTCCACTAGAACAGGGGTCTCAAACCTGCGGGCCAATTGGCGGGATGGGGGGGGCATGGGGAGGGGCCCTGCAGCCTTCAAAGCGCCGGCGGCGCCTGGGCCGGCCACGGAATGAGCGGTCCCCCACCACCGCAGTGGTGGAATACTTGATGTGGCCCAGCCTCACCCAGACTCTACTTCCAGTGGCCCCCAGGTAAGTTGTGTTTGAGACCCCTGCACTAGAAAGAGGTTGTTAAGAAAGGGGGAAGTGGCCTGGGAGACGTTGCTTCTCTTTCAGTGTGCCAACTTTGTCTTCTGATCAAATAGGTCTTGCAGGTTTTCAGCCTATGCAAAGTCCCTCAAAACCTGTTTAACCCCACTAGCAGCATAGAATCAGAGAATAGCAGGAGCCTGTAAGGCTACTGGGTCCGGCCCCTGCTCAGTGCAGGACTCCAAGGTCAAGCATCCCTGACAGGTGGACGTACAGCCGCATCTTGAACACCTTCAGATGGGAGAGCTCATAATCTCCCCAGGTTACTGGCTCAACCCCTCTTCCAAGCCAACTCTTTGAGAAAAACAGTATTGTCTGTTTCCAAAACAAAAACACAAATGCCCCATGCCCAAGCTATCCAGCACCGATTGTTCTCAGGTGTCTACCAGGAACTGCATTTTCTCATTGCACATTGATTTCATTCATTCCCCAAAGGTTTAAACAGCTGACAGTTTGTAAAAAAAACCCAGTCATGTTCCTACATTGAGTTGCTTCACTTCATTTTCCGTCTAGGAAACCAGTCTTGGCTGCTGCAGAAAATTTCACTCTCTTCATTAAAAACACGGTCAACTTTACCAAGTTTAACTTCTCCAGGTAAGGGCTGATTCAGATTCAGAGCTGCCAAAGCTGGGGACCGTTTTTCGGGGGGTCTGAAGGATGTAGCAGGCAGGGCGGGGCCTGTGGGCGCCTCCCACGTCTGCCTCCAGCTCCGCAGGCGCTCAGCAAGGGCAAGTAGCCACCCGATCACAGGTGCGTGTCCAGGAGTTGAACTACCAGCTCTACCAGTCAAAAGGCCCTGAGTTCAGACGCTGCGATAACCCCACTCAAGGACTGAGCCTGGGTTGCGTGTGACTTCACAGCCGTGTGTGAACTGTGGGCTGTTGTTGAAATGTTGGGTCATCCTGATGTCTGAACCCAGCCAAGCTCGTCAACCATGAGCAGCCCGTGAAGAGAACTCCTGGCTTGTTGCTGGTTGTGGACCAGGTGGGTTGTCACCAGCTCTCACTTGCTTCTGCCCCCCACGCCTCTGCTGGAATGCAGGTGCCTGAGCATCCCTGAAAAGGGAACCTGGCCCTTCAGCAGCAAGAATTGCTGCACCCTTGCCCTGGGGGCCCGAGTGGCGCAGCCCCTGCGCAGCCTCGCTTACACAGTGCTCCGCTGGGGTCGGGCTTCTTTGGGGCTGAGCCGTTCAGCGGCTGCTTCCTGAGGACAGGAGTTCTCCTCTCGCCTTCCTCCAGGAGCAACACTTTAAAGACGACTGACGACTCCTACTTCAAGAGCTGCAGGTACGACAGACTCGCCAGCCCTCACTGCCCCGTCTTTCGCATTCGTGACATGGTCAGAGCAGCGGGAGAGAGCTTCGAGAAGATGGCACTCTGGGTAGGCTCCCCCTCCAGGGCCCTGGGCCAGCGGGCCACGGCATTTGGGCATGCCACACACTTGCAGGCCAGGCGCATGGGGCAGGCAAAGGGGCCTCTTGGCACTACAGCCCCATCCGAGCGAAGCCAGTGCATCCCTCGCCCTTGGGGAGGTGTGAGGAGGCAGAGACCCCATCTGGCCAGGCAGGCCGGGTGATTTCCGCCCTGAAAGGATGTTCTGCTCTGCTCTGCTCTTCTCTATCTGGGCACTTTTTACCGAGATTCCGTATCTCTTCCTCCAAGCAGCTCAAGGCAGCTTGCATAATCCTCCTCCTTCCACCTGACCCTCACAACAACCCTGTGAGGTAGGTTAGGCCCAACGTCTCCCAGTCAACTCTGGCCAAGTGGGGACTTGAACCAGACTTCCCAGATCCCACTCCAGCACCCTCGCCATCATGCCGGCTCTCCATTTATGTTTGCACATCAAGCCAGTCCGATGAAGCCCCACCTCGACCGAGCCTTTGGTGCTTCCAGAGAAGGCCGAGGCTGAGATGCTCTTGGACCCTCTTGTCACCCAGGAAGGGGCGTGTGGAAGGCAGGCGTGGAGGGTGGGAACAGGCAAAGCATTCCGGGCACTGGCCACTGAGGGGCCCCAGCGTCCGCAGCCCATTTCGGCTACTCTTGTGGGTCCTGCACAGGGGGGAGCCATCGGCCTGCGGATCAACTGGGACTGCGACTTAGACTGCCCCCCTTCAGCATGCCAGCCCTGGTACTCCTTCCACCTGCTGGAGAGGAAATTCAATTTCAGGTGGGTGAATCGACCTCACAACACAAAGACTGCCTGCTCTGAATCAGCCCCCCGGGGAAGTGATCTGGTGCCACAAAGTACGGAAGGGCAGGAAGGAGGGGGCTGGCCCCCAGGGCCCTGGCCTGCGTGCAGTGTGGAAGTGCTTGGAGACATAGAAACAGAGCGAGTCAGAAGGGGCTTCCCGGGCCATCTGGTCCGACCCCCGGCTCCAGCCAGCTGTGCTCACGACATGCCCACCATGTGCATGTCCAGCCTGTCTTTGAACATCCTCACCAATGGGGCCTCAGCCACCTCCGAGGGAAGCCCATTCCACACCCTCGGGGTCCTGACTGTCAGGAAGTGCTTTCTGGCACCCAAATGGAACCTTGGCTCCCTGAGCTTTGCTCGGTTGGAGCGCGTCCTGCCTTCCTCTGCAGGGGAGAACAGGTCTCTCTCCACCTCCTCTGACACCCCCTCACATACCTGTATGTCACCAACAGATCCCCTCTGAGTCTCCTCTTCTCCAGGCTGAAGAGGCCCAGTTCCCTCAGTCTCGCCTCATATGGCATCCCCTGCAAACCGGCCACCAACCTTGTGGCCCTACGCTGCACTGACTCCAACATGGCTATATCCTTCCTGTAATGAGGGGCCCAAAACTGAGCACAATACTCCAGTTACAGGTGCACCAGAGTCGTGTAGAGTGGCAGTAATACCTCTCCTGATCTAGAAGCCACACTTCTGGCTATGCGACCAAGGGTGGCGTTCGCCCTCTTGACCACTGCATCACACGGCTGACTCATGTTTAGCCTGCAGTCAACCAGCACCCCGAGGTCCCTTTCACAAGTGCTGCTCTCCAGCCACTTGTCCCCTAACCTGTACTTATGACACCTATTCCTATGCCCCAAGTGCAAGACCTTGCACTTATCCACATTGAACGCCATCCTGTTGTCTCCTGCCCACTTCCATAGTCTGTCCAGATCCTTTTGGATCTGGAGTACCTGCTCCTCAGTTGTGGCCACTGCTCCAGTTTTAGTATCATCTGCGAATTTGATCAGCAGACTGTTCACCCCTTCTTCCATGTCGTTAATGAAAAGATTAAACAGGATTGGCCCCAGGACAGAGCCCTGGGGCACCCTGCTTGTCACTGGCCGCCATCCCGATGATTCCCCACTAATGGTTACCTTACGCTTTTTGTCAGTCAACCATGCCCTAATGCACCGGTCAGTGCTTTGGTGTATCCCAAAACTCCTCAGTTTCTCCACCAGGATATCATGGGGCGCTTTGTCAAAGGCCTTGCTGAAATCCAGGCATACCACATTCACTGCATCCCCTCCATCTAGCCATCTCGAAACCTTGTCATAGAATTCCACAAGGTTTGTCTGGCAGGACCTGTTTTTACGGAAGCCGTGTTGTGTGGCTGCCAGCCTCCCTTCCCTATCTAGCATCACTAGATCTCTCTCTATTATGAGCCTTTCCATTGTTTTTCCTACACAGGACGTAAGGCTAACAGGTCTGTAATTCCCCATGTCCCTTCTACTACCCTTTTTGAAAATTGGAACCACTGATGCCACCCTCCAGTCCTCTGGAACCTCACCCATTCTCCACAAGGGCTCAAAAATGGAGGCCAGTGGGTGTGAGAGAACCCCTGCCAACCCTCTAAGTACTCTCAGGTGTAACCCATCAGGGCCTAGCGCCTTTGTAATGTCCAATGCCCTTATCTGTGCCCCTAAGTCCCCAGGCTCATCTAATCTCCTATGCGGATATCCCCGTCCTGCTCTGGGGAGAACACAGAGGCAAAATAGTCATTTAGCATCTGTGCCTGTTCCCTCATATCAGTCACTGGATCTCCTTCCTCCTTATTTAGTGGTCCCACCACTTGTCTCCCCTTCCTCTTCCTATTTACATGCTGAAAGAAGCCCTTTTTGTTGCTCTTGACATTCCTGGCAAGTCTCAGCTCATAATCAGCCTTAGCCTTGCGAAGGATCCTTCTGCGACGGGCCTCCTCCTCCCGGTATGCTCGGACGTGGCCCGAGCAGGCCCAGAGCTCGCCTCCCTCCCTGTGCAGCCACAGTCCTTCCCATGTTTAGTCTTTCAGGCCCCAGGGGAAGGGACAGTGCTGTGTCCCAGCTGAGGTGGGGAGTGCCCTCCCCTTGGTGTAGAAGTGGGGCAGACTGGAAGAACCTCCTGCTTCCTGCCTGCTTGACCACCTCTCCCGGCCAGATATCCGGGGTCGGGTGCCCTGCAGTGTCACTGAATCATCCGCCATCTGCAGCCCATGTGGACTGGCACCTTTTCATACGTACGCTGCACAGATACTCTGCCATACTGACTGTTTTGCCTGCATCTGCTGCTTTTGCTGCTCACAGAGAACAGCTGGCCACGTGCAGAGCCCAGACGCTTGCCCAGCCTGAGCCCTCTTGACTTATTCAATCATTCTCTTCCAGCTACAGCCATAACAACTAGAAACAAGCTAGTTTTTAAAAAGTCACCTGGTGTTTAAAAACTGAGGCTGAGAGTCTCAAGAAGCCCCCAGTCAGCATGGCACCATGGCAACATCCCTATAAAAGCGAGCTGGGCGGTGCCCGCCTCATGCGCTGGATCCAGCCACCTTCCACTCTGCTGCCGTGGGCACCGCGCAGGCCCTGCCGCCAAGAGCAGACGCAGTGGTCAGGAGGGCCCCTCAGCACGGAAGGGCCGGGCGCCAGGGGTGCCGCGAGCCTGCCCTGAGTCTCTCCAGGGACGGAGAGGGACTGGGGATGATGGGTGGGGGCACTTCTCCCTCGAGGATGCGGGCTGCCAGTCTGGAGGCACACCTGGAGCCAGCCACACCGCAGCAGTTCCCACAGTTGGGTCCAGCGCCCCCCCCTCCGAAAGACACCCAGTCCGGCCACAGGCATTCATGCCTCCCAGGTGGACAGCGTGACGGGGCTGCCACTGAGCGCTGGCGGCCAGAACTTGCAGCGGGTCCAGCTCGCTGTAGCCACAGCGGGTTGCAAGGCACACGAAGCACCCCTGTTGCGACAGCTTCAGCCGGTTTGCTTCTGGGAGGCTTCCAAGGGGAGCTCGAGGCCAGTGCAGCTGGGTGTGGGGTGCCTGGGAGACCGTACGGCCCCACGCTGAGGCAGGTTGCAGAGCCTTTGCAGGGTGGCTCCCCAGGAAATGCACGGGAAGGACCTTCTTGGTGACAGCTCCCTGTCTCTGGAACGCCCTGCCAAGAGAAGCCCGTTTGCCCCCTTTCCTTCCTTTGGCTTTTAATGTTGTTGCTGTTGGGGGTTTAACTGCTCAGATGCTGTCTGCTTCTTTTATTGTTGTGTTTAAAATTTGTTCTTCTGTCACCATTCAACAAAGATTTTGTTTTCTGTACGTTGTTATTGTGAGCTGCCTTGAGCACCGCTTTGTGGGGCGGGAGGAAGCAGGATATGGAATCAAGACATCCCACAGCGTTCCAGTCTTGCTCTTCATCCAGCCACGTGGTTTCTTCTCAGAACTGCCACCTATTATCAGGACCCTGAGCATCGGCTCTCCCGAAGCCTGCTGAAACTCTACGGCATCCGCTTTGACATTTCTGTCCATGGCCAGGTACGGCACCCAGCTGTCCCGTGCATGGGACCCCTGCCTGCAGGCTGTGCAGGTATTTGGTCCGTGGCCCCAGGCGCTGGTTTGCATGGCAGGCCCCCTTCCCATCCTGCTCTGTTCTTCGCACTGCCGCCACCTCCCAGCCTCCCTGCCCCTCGCCTCTCTCCTCTACAGTCTTTTATCCTCTCCCCTGCATGCCCAGCTTCCCCTCACCCCCATCGCTTCATAAAGACTGGCTATTTCCTTCATTTTGCCCGCAGCACACAAAGCCGTACATTAAAAACGAACTAGGTCTGTTGTACTGCTGACACAAAGCGGGGAAAGACCTAATCCTTGGTGCCGTTGTGGCCGTCAGTGCCACGAAGGGATGGAGGCAACGGTGGCAGGGTTGTGCAAGGGCCGTTGGCCTGGGGCAGAGCTCGCTGGCGCAGAAGGCTGCGGCTCTGCCTATAAGGTGGGGCGGAAGAGCATCCCCACCTGGAGCCCCGGAGAGCCCCAGCTGCCAGTCCGGGCAGGCAGGCCAGAGCGCAGGGATCACTGCCCCGGCCTCTGGCGGCCTCCAGCACAGCTGATTCAAGGCAGAGCAGTTGGGCTTTTTCCTCTGGCTTGAAAAGTACTTTCAGCACAGAGCTTGCCTGGCCAGGTAGTGCTCACCTCCATGTCTTGCAACGCTGCCCTGGCTGATTTCTGTCCAGGTGGCTGCCCTCACCTTGCCCCCCACTGCTTTGAGACGATCTCTCTCCCAAGCATCCCCAAATCCCATCCCTTTCAAACACTTATCTGTTTACACAACATAAATGTAGCGGTGCCTTCTGCTAACATGCGCACATGTGTGGAATCGTTCTCTCTCTCTCTCCAATCCTCCTCTTGTTGCTCAGGCTGGAAAATTTAGCATTGTTCCCACCGCAGTCAACCTGAGCACTGGGGCCGCTTTTCTTGGTGCAGTAAGTATGCCCAGGCAGCATCCGCTGCCAGCCAAAGCAGTCCGGGCAGGTGTGGAAGGGATGCAGCACAGGGCACCGTGCCGGGTCCTCTTCAGGGGAGCCTGCCTTCCTGGGTGTTCCTGTGGTCCCGCAGTCACTGCAGGAGAGGGAGCTGCCATCCCTCTTCCTTGAGAGGGTGGTGCAGAAGCACCGGAGCAGCTTCTAGAGGAAGGTAAGATTTGGGGGCCTATTTATTTCTATCAGTTCCCCATAGACATGAGGGGAATGGAGAGGACTCAAATGTTTGGAAGGCTAACTGTGTAATGGCACACAATCCCACCATTGAGTACATGGTGAGTGTGGTTGACTAAGCCTAAGAAAGGGGGGTTGGGGGCAGCCGAATGTTAACTTTGCTCTGCCCTGGTCTGATGGTTTGGGCTGCTGCGGGGGTGCAGGCCGTGCTGAACCGCTGAGTGGGTAGCCCAGCCCCCTGCTCTCACAGCTTGCATCACGTGCATCTGGGGTTCAATGTGCAGCCAATGTCAGGTGGGTCAAGCATCAGCCCTTCTGTCCAGCCTCTTCTCTGTACCAGGGGGCTGTTTGCTTGCTTCAATATGTTGTGGAAACTTGAACTGTCAGCTTGCTTGACACTGACACGGCGTTCTTCCTCCAAGGCCACCGTGGTGTGTGATCTTGTTCTGCTGTACCTCGATGCCAGAGCAGAATTCTATCGGCGCGAGAAGTACGAGGAGGTACGCAGGGAGCCTGCCTGGTGCCCTGTGTGGGTGTGGGCGTGGGCGTGTTGCCCTTGGATCCACATGTGCTTGTGCGCCTTCTTGCATGGCAGAGGAGTTGCTTCTGGTGGCCCGCAGGCCGCCATCCCGCGCTGTTCAGCTGCCGATGCCGCATCCCGCTGCCCCAGCACACAGCACTGCTGTGCCAGGAAAGCCACTCACGCCCCCTTGTGATTCGCACAGGAACAGCAGGGGGGCAGAACGCAAGTGGCTGCTGCATCCCTCGTGGCGGGCCATTGGCGGGCGACCTTTGTTGAACAGTGTTGGTCAAAGCTCTTGCTCCTGCTGAAGCCCTGGGTGGCTGGGGAACGCAGAAGCGACCCGGGTGTGAAGCCGGTCGCTCCCAAGCACCCTCGCTGTCGGAGATCTCATGCTGCTCCGTGGGATCCTGGAGCTGAGAGCGATGGGGGAGGACCCCCAAGGGAGCAGGAGACACCCGGCGTTTGCCTGCCGGCAAGCAGTGGCGAGGGCGGCAAGGAAACCAATTTCCGCTTTGCCCCTAGTGCAGCTATTCAGGGTTGCCTGGGGCTTCTTGCAGTCTGGCCCCAGGGACACCTTGGGCCGTCTCCAGCCCATTGCAGCCTACTCACCAGCACTTCCAGGAAGGAAAGGTTTTGCATCCGCTGGGGCTTGGACCCCGGAGCTAAAGCAGCTGAATCTGTGGGGAGCCCCCAGCACAGCCTGACCCAGGTTGGTGGTACTGCTCAAGGGTGTAGACAAGGTGCTTGGGCAAGCTCATGCGACCACCTCTGCAGCGAAGCCTTGCCCTGCCTGGCTTATAAAAGCTGGCAAGGAGGGAACGGCGGGCTGGCCAGGGAGGTGATGGAGTGTCCCGTATAACCCTAATGGGCAGTGGTGGGGCCACTTCTGACGAAATCCTCCCTTGGCCCAGAAGACCCCAGTATTGTTAGGCAGGTGGCGGACACCCCTGTCCTGGACGAGGTTCCAGGTGCTCTCAGATGAGACTCGTGCCTGGATCCCCTGCTCAGGCCTCGCTGTGGTGCGGAAACGGCTTGGCCACCCTGTACGATGAACCATGCCTGGGAGAGGCCAGGGTGTGACCTCCTTGATTCTCCTGGATCTCTCAGTGGCTTTCGATTCCCTCAAGCACTTCATCCTTTGGGGGCAACTGAGCTGGAAGTGGGGGCACTGCATTGCAGTGGTTCCGCTCCCACCAGGAGGGCTGTGTGCACTTGGGGAACACCATTCAGCCCCGGGGATTCTCCAATGTGGAGTTCCTCAGGATCTGTTCTGTCCCCCAGGCCATTCCAGATCTCCATGAAACTGCTGCAGGGGGCTCACCCGGAGTTGTGCGGCACGCTGCCCTCAGTATGCCGAGGACACAGAGCTCCATCGCTCCTTTTCATCAGCAGCAAGTGGGGCTGTGGATGTGCTGAACCGGGGCCTGGCTGCGGGAACGGCCTGCGGAGCATGGCCTGCTGACTGAGCACAGGCTGAAGCTCATTAGGGTGGTTCTCCTGGTTGGATGGAGGGACTTCAACCTGCTCTGAATGGGTTGCACTCTCCTTGAAGGGGCAGGTTCATACTCTGGGGTTGTTCCCTGAGCCATCTTTCTCACTGCAGGTCCAGGTGGCATCAGTGGCCTGGAGTGCTGTCTACCAGCTTCAGCTGGTGGCTCAGCTATGACCCTATCTGAACAGAGAAAGCCTGCTATAGGTAGTCCTTGCTCTGGTACGCTTGAAGCTAGATTACTGCACTGCACTCTGTGTGGGGCTGTCCTTGAAGAGAGTTCAGAAACTGCAGCTGGCGCAGAATACAGCAGCCAGGTTAACCGAGACCCGCAGGTTGGGACAGAAAGGACTGGTTCTGGCCCACTTGCACTGGCTGCCTGAATGCCTCCGGTCCCAATTCAAAGTGCTGGTTTTCACGTACAAAGCCTTACAAGACCTGGGGCCACAGTACCTGTTGGGAGTGCCTCTCCCAGCTGCAAGCAACCTGGACCTCGGGGGCCTTCCTCCAAGCACCAGCTCCAAGGGAAGTGGGAACGGTGGCAACAGGGGAAAGTCTTTCTCAGTGGCGGCCCCCCTGTATGCAATAGCCCAGCTGGCACTGAATCTGTCATCCTTTAGTACCGGGATAAGACAGCCCTCTTCTCTGAGGCTTTTAAAGAATTGCTCAGCCACCCAGAGGTTTCTGTGGGATCACCAGGTATTTCACAAAGTGACTCTTTTTGTTGTTGTTTTTATACCTTTTTATTGTCAGTTTTTGTTATCTGTCTTTTGCTGTTTTACATTTATTAATATGCTTGTTTGTTTGTTTGTTTAAAATATTTATATGTTGTCCTGTTGCGAAGGCCTCAGGACGGCTTACATACATAAAACATAACACAAATGCATTACAGATCCACACTGGCAGCAGTTAAAAACATATATAAATCAATATTAAAAGTTATTAAAATATTGTTGAAATAAAAAGGTCTTAACCTGGCGCTGAAAAACAAATAATGACGGCGCCAGGAAGACCTGTCTGGGGAGTTCATTCCATAGGCGGGTTTCTGATTATATAATATTTTATTGCACTTTTATCACCTGCATTTATGGTCTGTGTAAACTACCGAGAAAGCTTTCGCTGTCAGGCAGTATGGAACTGAAACAGACAAACAAACACACCCCGACCCCATAAGGCAGGAGTAGGCAAACTGAAACCTTCCACTTGCTTTGGACTACAACTCCCATGAGCCCCAGACCGGTCTGGGATTATGGAGCTTGTAGTCCACCACATCTGAACTCCTTCGGTTGCTCTCCCATCCCCCAGCCCTCGTCCGGTGCGCCCCCGGCTGCGGCCTCTTGGCTGCCCGGCTTCCCGCCCCAGGGACCCGGCAGGCGCCCGCCGCGCCCCCCACGCCGCACAGCGCCTGGCGCAGCCCTCCTGGTGAGGAGCGCGGCCGGGGAGCCCTTCCGCGAGCCAGGCGATGGGCCCCGAAGCCGTGCTCCTCCCGCTTCGGCCCGAAGCCGCTCCCAAGCCGGGCGAGCCCCGGGCCCCCGCGGCCCCCAGTCTCTGTCTCCTCCTTCGCTTTGCAGGCCAAGCCGCCGAAAGGCAACGTCCCGAAGCAGGCGGGCTCCGAGGAGAAACCGGGCGAATGAGGGTCCTCCGGCGCGCTCCCCTTGGAGAAGGCTGCTCTTCCCGAAGGTCGGGACTTCTGGAGGCTGGCGGCGCGTCCGGCGTGCCCGCGCAGCCGGGAGGGCTGCTGCGGTGGGTGCAGGCGGCGTGGGCCCGGCCCGGCCCGGCCGGGCTCTGTGGCGCCGAGCGCCTCCCCCAGTCGCCGCGGAGGGCAGGCGGGTCACGGCTCGGCCCTGCTGAGGCGGAGCCGAGGGCCGCGTGAGCACGACCCGGGCCCTCCTCTCCGCGCTCCGCGCTCCGGCCTTGCATCCCGCTGGCTCCCGGGGCGCGCGCTACCTGGGCCCCGGGAGCCGTGCGTGCGCCCGGCTCGGGGGCGTACGCAGCAGCGGGGAAGGGCCAAGGGCACGAATCCGAGTCTGGGGAGGGTCGGGGCCACGTCAGTGCCTGGGAGGGCAGCCGGTGCCCCCGGCCAGCCTGCTGAAGAGTTCTGGAGAGGGCCGGCGCCCCTCCCCGGCCTGGCCTGGCCTGGCCCTGCGCTTCAGGCCCTTCCTGGGCAGGCACTGGCCTGTCTGTGGCCTGTGCAGCAAGCGAGGCGGGCGCGGGGCCGAGAGGCAGCCGCCTCCTCCGGGGTCCCGCCCCTACTGGCCGCCTCTGGCGCTCCTGGCCCGCCCGGCCCCGCCCGCCCCCTCCTCGAACTGCCTCAGGTAGAACTGCCTGGCCAGGTGCTTGGCCATGGCCCGGAGTGCCACAAAGGCGGCCATAATCTCTGAGAGGAGGAAGAGGAGCAGGAGCAGGTGCACAGCCGTCTCCAGGGGCAGCCTGATGATGTGTGGGTCCATCAGGATAAAGAGCAGGACTGGCATCTCGATCAGGGAGGACAGGAGGAGGAAGCTGGCGAGTTCTGGAACCTGCAGGCACCAGGAAGGGGGTTAGCCACCTGCTGGGGAGCTTAGGGCAGGTGCACCCCAACACGGTGCTGCTGCCACCCCCAAATCTCACCTCGGAATGGACCTCAGAGGCCACCCGGCCTGCCACACAGGTGAGCCCTATTCTGTGATAAAGCCCAAATCCATTTGCTCCCCAAAATTCCCCTCCGTGCCTGTTAATGTTTGCCCTTCACTGGACATCATCTGAGCCCTTAACTCTGAAAGCCAGTGTGCCTACAGTTAGAGACCCCGGAGATCCGGTTCGGAGCCCCACTTGGCTATGAAGTTCACTGGTGACTTTGGGCAAGTGACGACTCCTCAGCCTAGCCTACCTCACAGGGTTGCGAAGGTGAGGATGAAGCAGCTCTGTAAGTTGCTCAGGGTTCCCCACAAGAAGAAAAAAGATGGGATAAAAATGCAATCCAAGAAGAGGAAGAGAAGGAGGCGTTGGGATTCCTGAGTGCAAATCTTCACTTAGCCTTGAAGCTTACAAGGGGATCTTGACCCCATCAAGCTGTTGTCAGAACAGCCTACCCTGTTGGGTCCTTGTGAGGGTCAAAGGAAGTGGGAACGGCTGAGCTACCTGGATAAAAAGGCAGGAAATGCAACAGACGTGTTTCAGAGGTTAGCAGGGGTTGGAAGGTGGGTTTGCTCAGGGATCAGAACTCTGAGCGAGTGCTTCCTGCCTTCCTGCAAAAGAGTGCACAGCAACCATAAGGGGCGGGGGGGGGGGGCTACCTGTAGCCATCCAGCCCCTCTGTGTGAAATAGGAGAAGGACACTGACGGCTCCCCGGCAGAGTCCAGGAACCCTCTGCTACCTTCAGTGGTGAGCAAGCATAAGGACTTTGCTCCGCTCACTCGCTCGCTCGCATCCGCCTCTCTCCTCTCTGCCGGGAACGTACGGAGTCCCTTTCGCATGCTCGGGGGCTCCCGGGTGTGGCAGGCCACCCATGCCGCCCAGACCCAGTGCAGCTTAGTGCTGGAAGTGGCAGGAGGACGTTTCGTCAGACCTTAACAGAAAGGGCCTGGGAAGCTTTCCTGGGGGCTCCGTTAAGCTCCCCGTCCCCAAGTAGGAGCCCTCCCAATGTTCCTTCTCTGGGAGAAGGATGGTATCTTTGTCCAGTAGCATCTTACCTTTTCCTGCAAATTTCCAATGTATCCAAGGTACAGGCGCAAAGCTTCGGCTAAGACGAGCGTCAAGTATGCAGCAACAAGGAGGAACTGGTAGTAAGCAGGTAGCAAATTATACTGCAGGAAGATTAAGGGACAGGCAGGAAGAATGTGGGAAGAAAAACGCTTGGCTTCACCAGGCAGAATGCGGCATGATGCCACGGCCTTCCCTCAGCTGGCACCCTTCAGGCGCGTTGGACAGCAATTCCCATGCTGGCTGGGAAAGATGGGAGCTGCCATCCAACACATCTGACCATCCCTTAGCCAGTCTGTTTGTTCATGTGTCCGTGCTCATGTTGAGCAGTGTTCAACTGTTCATGTGCCCGAACAGGAAAAATTGAGTAGAACCCACCCCCGATCTGGGGAGGAGCCTCAGTCATCCCCAGAGGACCACGTGCCCCTGGGTTAGAGGAGGCCGGGTGTGTCTGAGCTGGGTGGCGCAGCTGGTCCCAGGTGAGGTCCCCACAGCCACCACAATGCCCTGCTTAAGAGGGGCTGCCTTTCGAATGCTGCCTGCTCAGCACAGAACAGAGCAGAGGCAGACAGAGCTTGCTTGCAGCATCCAAACACGGCACTGCCTCTCACACTGTCCACGACAGGGAGGTCCGCCACGCTGGGCCCCGTCCAGCCATCGCAAGCATGGAGGAGACTGAAGAGCCTTCGCCAGCAGCCTCAGCACCCCGCCCGGAGACACGCCGCCGCCCTCCCTGGCCCTGCACACCTTGAGCTCCAGCATGACTCCCTCCGACAGGCCCCAGAACGGGACGTAGAAGGCATTGAAGTACAGCATCACCTGCAGCGGCAGACTGGACAGCACAGGGCGGTCTGGGAGGGACACAGCACAGAGGGCTTCTTGCAGGAAGCGTTGCCACGGGACAATCGCCAGCCTTCCTGCTTATTCCCGGAATTGTGGATTGGCTGCTGCTGCTGGCTTCATTTAGCAGCCCTTCCCTGCCACTGTCTACTATTCCTAACTGCTATTAAAATACGAAGAGCAAATAAGATTTGTAACTACAACACTGAATTGGTTAATAAAACACACAAAAGCAATTCTTAGTTTACCTTAACAGGAAAGACTCTCGAAGGTGTGTCTGTTGGGGTGTGGGTGGATCTGTAATGGGTGAATGCTCAGGCCGCTTGGCCCACACTGGGTTTTGGCTACGTGGTTATTACTGCATGTGGATTCTACTCCTTCTCCTCTTGCACAGAACCCAAGACGGCGGGCTTAGTCCCCCCCCCCTCCATTTTATCCTTGCAACTTCCCTGCAGGGCAGCAGGTTTGGGAGTCACGGGCTGGCCGCAGGTCACACACTGAGCTTCACAGAATGTCCGAGCTGGGAGGGATCCAAGTGGAGACTTGGACTCAGATCTCCCCAGTCCTAGTCTGAGACTTGCCAGCCGGGCAACGCTGGTTACAGCTCCAGTGCAGACCTAGAGCCCATGTGCTGTGTAGATGAGTGGGGTGGGGACCCCACAGTGCCCAGTTCATAGAAACATAGAGCAAGTCAGAAGGGGTCTCCTGGGCCATCCAGTCTGACCCCCACTCCAGCCGGCTCCGCTCACGACATGCCCACCATGTGGACGTCCAGCCTGTCCTTGAACACCCCACTGATGGGGCCTCAACAACCTCCCGGGGAAGCCCATTCCACACCCTCGGGGTCCTGAGTGTCAGGAAGTGCTTCCTGGCATCCAAATGGAACCTTGGCTCCCTGAGCTTTGCTCCGTTGGAGCACGTCCTGCCTTCCTCTGCAGGGGAGAACAGGTCTCTACCCATCTCCATGTGACATCTCCTCACATACCTGTATGTCGCCAACAGATCCCCTCTGAGTCTTCTCTTCTCCAGGCTGAAGAGACCCAGTTCCCTCAGTCTCGCCTCATATGGCATCCCCTGCAAACTGGCCACCAACCTTGTGGCCCTGCACTGCACTGACTCTAACCTGGCTTTATCCTGCCTGTAATGAGCGGCCCAAAACTGAGCACAATACTCCAGTTGTGGGTGCACCAGAGTCGTGTAGAGTGGCAGTAAAACCTCTCTCGATCTAGAAGCCACACTTCTGGCTATGCAACCAAGGGTGGCGTTCGCCCTCTTGACCACCGCGTCACACGGCTGACTCATGTTTAGCCTGCAGTCAACCGGCACTCCGAGGTCCCTTTCACAAGTGCTGTTCTCCAGCCACTTGTCCCCTAACCTGTACTTATGACACCTATTCCTATGCCCCAAGCACAAGACCTTGCACTTATCCACATTGAACGCCATCCTGTTGTCTCCTGCCCACTTCCATAGTCTGTCCGGACCCTTCTGGATCCGGAATACCAGAACTCCTCGCTCAGCCATGAGGCTCACTGGGTGACTTTCAGCTGAACAGCCTCTTGGGGCTCCATCAGGACAGAAGAAGAGCAAGGCTGGATTGGAGCAAGCAGGACATCCTGCAGCAACATCTCCTCAACCGGGTCCCATGTCAAATCCAGGGTTGCCCTTTCTCCCATCAGTGCCACAAACAACTGTTTTAGGGCGCAGTCATTTCTGGCACCTGGTCATGATGAAGTGCCTGGTCCTGCCTAATCTTGGAAGCTCACAAGGGCTGGGCCTGGTTGAAGTCTGGATGGGGGACTTCTCAGATGCTGTGAGCCAGCCAGAGGGCTTTGGCTGTGAGCAGTATAGAAATGTAAAGGAATAGTAATAATGGTGTGCGAGTTGCCCATCACTTCCTTGATTTGTTCTCCATCTCAAGAAGAGAAGACTCGGAGGGGATCTGTTGGCGACATACAGGTATGTGAGGAAGTGTCACACGGAGGTGGGTATAGACCTGTTCTCCCCTGCAGGGGAAGGCAGGACGCGCTCCAACAGAGCAAAGCTCAGGAAGCCAAGGTTCCATTTGGATGCCAGGAAGCACTTCCTGACAGTCAGGACCCCGAGGGTGTGGAATGGGCTTCCACGAGAGGTCTTTGAGGCCCCATCGGTGCGGGTGTTCAAGGATAGGCTGGACGTGCACATGGTGGGCATGTCGTGAGCGGTGCCGGCTGGAGCCAGGGGTCAGACTAGATGGCCCGGGAAGCCCCTTCTGACTCACTCAGTTTCTGTTTCCATGTTTCAAGACCTCCCTGAGCATTCTGCTCTGGGGCAATCACCTGTTGCTAGTCCCAGTTTTGGAGCCTGGTATTGGCCCCCACAATGCTTCTGTGGGAGAGTCTGCCCCTTTAAGCTTTCCACTCTGCTCGCCACTTTGGCCTCTTTGCTTCCGCCATTCTGCTCTTCCATGGCTTGGCCGCAGAGTTTGCATCCAGGGAAGAGGACCTCCCGCTGGTTCCCTCCACTCCACCAAGTGTCTACCATGCCCCCTCCTCTGGGTTCTCCTTTCTCCACTCCAACGCTTCCAGTTTGTCCGGAAGTTTCTAGCATCTGCACAGAAAGGCCTGCGTGGGGAGGGGGGCCTCTCCAAGTGTGTCTGGCACATGCAACTTCCACTTTGGCACCTGGGCGAAATATCACGTGTGGCAGGCTCTGTCTTCCCCTCCTGCATTCGGGCATTCAGAAATGCCTTTGCCCGCATCCCCTTGGGAAGATTTTGGCTGGATTGGATGCTTCCTTGGCTTTCCTTCAGGGTTTCATTCAAATGCTCTTTGCCACCATTTTCTTGTTAAGCATCAGCAGCCGGTTCCATTTTAGTTGAAGTGGGGTACATCCCCCTTGTACTGGCCTGGCTTGACCCAAAATGTTCTTCAGTGTCTACAGGTCTGAACCCCTCCTCCCGACACCACCCTCTTGTCCACCCATCGAGACTCCTTGGCTGCAGCTGCCTGGCTGGCCCTGTGCACGCCTTGCGAGAGTAACACAGAGCGAGGAAAGATCACGCACACTACTTTGGGTTCCTTGGGGAAAGAAGGTGAGGTACAGATGCCACACGCAAGCAAGCACATCACCGTTCATCCTGCTGTGGGAGAGGAAGGGCGTCTTGAGGCCAGGGCTGCAAAAGTGCTTCAGAGCTGAGGACGAGCAGCGGGGGACACAGTGTGCCGTCTTGGGATGTGGGGGCATGAGAGAATACCCCAGGCAGTGCTGGGCAGGAAACCGCCGCTGCGGCTGTGAGAGGCCGCGCCAGCGCTGCCCAGGCCCTCTGCAGCACCCCTCCCCAAATGCCGTACCTGGGGGGGAGGCCTGTGCTGCACCGCAGTCGACTGTCTTGTTGTTGAGGAAGAGGGAGCCGCTGAAAGCCGCCAACCGCCTCCGGAGACTGGGAGGCAGAGGCGTCTGCGGCGCCATCGTGCCTGCCTCGTCCATCTCCACACCCACCTCTCTGGATCAGCAGGGCTGGAAGGAGAGCTGCTAATCGCATTGGAAGGCCAGAGTGGCAAGGCGGTAATCCGGCCGTGATCAAAATAGGGTGCGTGGCCACGGATTACTTTCCCCTCCAGGGACTTGGCCCAGCCCTTTCACGCACTTGTGTGCTCCCCCTGTGCTCGCTCACTCTCTCTCACACATGTACAAATACCAGTGCCCATTTTTGATTGGAGAATTTGATTCTGGGAAAGAGCACGTTTGGAAATATAATCAAATTTTGGTTAGTGCCTCGGTTCAAAACTGTGATGTCAAGTTTGCATTAAAATATGAACTGAATGGGTTTCTCTCCCGTGCTTATCGCCATGTCAGGCCACTGCTCCATTTACGGCACTGCAGAAGCGCGATGACCCTTGGCCCCCGTGGCGAAGTCCCAGCCTGGTTGCCACTTGCCGGGCCACCTCGGTGCTCTCCGTTCCAGCCTCCCGTTGCCCCACCAGGCCCCTCACCAGAGCCCAGCCTTTCCCACAGCCGCAGTGCTGTGCCGGCCCTCCCAAAGCCTTTGCCCTCACGCTCACTGCCTCTTATACCCCAAGAGGACCCTGCCCCTGAACCCCATCCTTCTGCTCCGCCACCAGGAACCTCCTCGAGCCCCACGCTTGCAGGGATGCGGCCCATTTCTCCCACGGCTCGGAGGCAAGCCCTGGCCCAGCACAGGGAGGGTCGGGACGCGCAGCGGAACCCCGGGAGAGCTGGACAGGCCCGAGGATCGGACCATGTCCAGCACGCAGACTCCCGGTGGCTCCCGGTGCCGTGAGGGGCTGGGCCCGGGGCTGGGCCAGTGCGGCTCTTCTGCGCTTCTTGTGTCCCTGCACTCAGGCCAAGGGGACGGTGCAGAGCCAGTTCGGCTGCTCAGAGGACGCGGCATCAGGTGAAGAGGGGGCAGGGGAGAGGCCTCAGGTGTGCCCATCGCTGGCTGTGGAGCAGGAGAGCCCACCTGGGAGGTGGGGCAGCATCCACGTGGAATCGACCCAGCAGCCAGCCGCATTTCCCAAAGGTCCCGCACTCCAACTTGGCTTGTTGCCTCGCTTATGGGCTCCGTTCGTACTGCCACGCCCCCCTGCCAGTCAGCTCTGACGTACGGGGGGCTGGTCTCCCTCGCCACTCCCCCTGCACCGAGTTGTCTCCTGGAACACCTTCCTTCCAGGCCGCTTCCTCTGCGGAAGGGGTGGCACCCTCTGTGTTGGCCCGCCCGCCTGCCCACCTGAGGGAAGCCCGTGGAGCAGTGATGAAGGCGAGGAAGTGCCCCCCTTGGGATGGCCGTGCGGATGGGGCCCAGCGGGAGCGCAAGTGGAAGGGCGAGTCAGAGGTGGGCCGTCTGCGAGGGGGTGGCCACCGAGGCCGCTGTGCTCAACCCCTCCTGTTCTTCATGCCGAACGTCAGCCCTGTGGGCTGAGCGCAGGGGGCATCTCCACCGTGAAATGCCTGCGTGGGGAGGCCCCTGGCACTCCCCCCCCGCTGTGCCTTCAACAGCCGCTGGAGCGGCAGAATCGGTGGCCGAGCTCTGCGCAGCAGGGAGATGAGCAAGCATGGCCGGCCTGCCAGCCTCCGCCCAGCCAAGCTGCGCTGCCGGAGGAGCCACCCCGGCGGACGCAGCACGGATGCTGCAGAGGGAGGGCCCACAAGGCGGACGCATGCCCACTCTTCCAGAGGGACAACACAGGTGTGCCGGGCCCCGCAGCTGCCCTCCGGCTGCCAGGCCCAACTCAGAGCGTGGCCTCTGCCCTGGCGTCGGGCGAGGACGCGCCCTCCGCACAGCCTCGAGGGGCTCCGGCAGGGCAGGGTCCGCTCGGCAAGCACAGGGGCATCCCGGAAGAGGCCTCTTCCTGTCCCAGCCCGCAGCTCCGGCGGCACGACCCAAGCGAGGCAGGAGGCACGTGGTGCATCATACAGAGAGAGACCTTTATTGAGGTCCCAGGAAAGGCTGTGGGATGCAGGACGCAGCGACCGAGTGGTGGACGTGCAGCTGAAACGTCGGGCAAGCGACTGCTGTGGCCCTCTTTGGGGTTTTGGCAGCAGGCATTCAACAGGAGCTTCCCCCACCCCACCCCAGTAGCAAAGAAAAATGTTGCACCTGCAGAAGTCCTGCCTGCAGATATTTCTACAGCTACCAGGTCTCTAGCAGCATGAAAGGGGTATCCTGGGGGCGGAGACTGCATTTGAAGCTGCAAGCAAGAGGCTAGCCCTCTTTGAGGAAAGAGGCGAGGGCTCAGGTACCACCGCTCCTACCGCTGCACCCCCACCAGGGGGATGTCTGCTTGGGAAGGGAATTGCAGTGCACCAACACACACACAGCTCACGCTTGGGGCCTGGGGCTTCCACTATCAAGACCTCCCACTTGAGCTGGGGCAGCACTGGGCCTCCGGGACCACCTAAGTCAGCCCTCCCCAACCTGGAGCCCTCTGCACGGGCTGGACCACCGCTCTCCTCAGGCCCAGCCAGCATGTCCAGGGCGCCCCATGAATACAGCGGAAAGGTAGCTGGAGAAGGCGGCTGGCAACCAGAGGAAGTAACCGTTTGGAGTGAGCGACAGCCCCCCGTGGCTCCCACTTCATCAGACAGGCGGCTGCCTGCGTCTGGGCCACTCTCTGAAACGAAGAGAAGCATCCAAGCAGGTCACTAAACCAGAATCCTCGCAGTGATGCAAATGAGTTGCACTTGCGTGTTACTTTTCTGTTCCCGTGGAATTTATTCTGGCTTGAGAATCACAGGAGGGCGAGAACCCCTCGCTTCTCCAGCGACTGAGATTACAGCATACATTGCCCACACGCTCTCTCACACACCTTGGTAACACCTTGAGGGCTAGAAACTTGCTTTAAAAAAATGCTGCGGTGATCAGGAAGCTGAATTCTGTGCCGCTTCTGCACAACCCTGGGAGACACACGTGGCTGTGCGGACTGCATGGGAAGGACGGCAGGGGATCGCTGGGAGGGGAGCCCTGGGATGCACCCCAACCCAGCCACTGCAGCAGCAGTGAGGCAAGAGCTGCCCCAGCACGGGGCATGCGTGCCACGCACCCCAGGCCCCACGCCTGCCCCGGGGCCCAGCCCCGCTTCTCTTCCCTCGCGGCCGCACTGAGGCGTCTCCCAGGGCTTGGGCCCCTCGCCCACAGGAGGAGGAGGTGGCGCGGAGCAGCTCCCTGCCCAGCTGCAGGAAAAGCCTGGGCGGACGGCCGGCGGGGACACGGCAGGCCGCAGGGCAGAAAGGGGGAGCGGCGCCCCAGCGGAGGTGGCGAGCAGAGCGGCCACACCGAGGCCGTGGCCGGCAGCAGCCCACAGGGACTCCTCGGCATCCTTTGCTCCCGGCTCCGCATACCAGCACGGGAAAGGCGGCCAGCATGTCCTCTCCCTGCGGCAGCTCCTCCGACTTCGGAGGCGGCCCCTGCAGGACGTGTCCAGAAGGCTGAGCGGAAGAGCCTGCGATCCGCAAGGGCCCGTGTCTCTTGACTAAAGTGCAAATTAGCCTCGGCACGAGCGGCGCCGAGCGTGACGCCCAGAAGGCAGGCAGAGGGCAAGAGCTGGGGAGGTTTTGTGAAGGCACCGGATTCCTCGAGGTCTTTCCCTCCGGCTGCGGCAGAGTCCATTGGAAGCCAGCCGCTCCTTGCCAGGCCGCTACGAGCCTTTTCCGGTGAGCCAGGACATGTCCCCAGTTCTGTGGGAGAGAAAAGGGAGACTCACTGCAGGAGCAGGCCCTGACCTTCCCCGCAAGAGCAGCGTCCTGCGGCTGACGAGGAGGCCGAGTGTGCATCCCGCAAGGTGGCCAGAGCGGCCAGCAGCCCGGCAGAGGCAGGCAGGAGTGAAGCTGCTCCCGTGGACGGGGATCGGGCGCACGGCAGCACACGCTCCGCCAAGGAGCAGGGACCGCGCGGACCCATGTCGATCTGTGGCTGCAGCTCAGCGGTGGCTTCTGAGGCACACGGAACCCAGAGGCGACCCAGCATTTGCCGCTGGCTTGCAGCCCGGGCGCGTTCTCTCAGCTGGGCTCAGGCGACAGGAGAGCGCAGTGGTGCCGGGGGCACAGGCGGCCCCTGCGCTGTCCGCCAGGCCCCCGTCCTCTTGCGCCCTCTGCAGGGCCGTGTCGGGCGGCCAGAGCCAGTGGGTGCTGGCTCCGTGCCTCTCCAGCAGTGGGCCAGCTGTGGGCACAGCGCTGCGCTCCAGGGCTGCTCTGAGCCCGGGTGCCGGGGGCTGCCTGGTGGCCCTCCCACATTGCCCTTCCGGGTCTCCGCCGCTCAGGGAGCGGAGCTGGGGGAGAGTGTGGCAGGAGCCTGGGGGGACTGCAGGGTGCATCCTCTGCCCGCTCCCCCCTTGGAGCAGGGAAGAAAGGTGCTTCCGCAAGCAGGTGTGCGGAGCCCCATGTCAGAAGGGTCCGGAGCCCTCGCGGCTGGAAGGATATGGGAGCCGCTCCCCTCCACCCCCTGCTCTCATCGCACCTGCCGCCTCTGCTTCCCCACCACCCGAATTCCTCGCCCTTCCTCCTCCATGGGCTTGGCCCTCAGCCCCGCTCTCCTAAAGCCACGCGTGCCCCCGTTCCCCGGGCTGCCATTCTGCCCAGAACCTGACGGGGGCTTCCCGTGTGTGGCTGTCTTGCCACCATTCTGCCCCCCCCACCAGGACAGTGAGCACGAGGGAGGGGGGGCTGCTCGGCGCCTCCCTGCATTGCAGAAGTGCCCACCGCAGGCAACCGTGAGAGGACCGGCTACCACATTCACCCTCCTCCCCGAAAGGCTGAACAGTCAAAACAAAACAAAAAACTCTTAATACAAAATAAAACGGCTTGCTTGCGAACTATTTTTAACCCCTTTGGGCTCTTAGGATGTATTTTAAAAGTATATACAAGCATACCCCTGAAACGAAATGCAGGGCCCAGACCTACCAACGTCCCTCCTCCGTTCCAGCCTGATGCAGCCTCAGGATCAAGGCAGGAGGAGCGAGGTCGGAGCGGGGCGGGCGCGGGTTCAGGCAGAGAAAAGCGAGGACCGTCACACGCGGAGTTCCCGGCCTGGGACGTGCTGATGGCCGCCAGTCCCGACGGCTTTCACAGAGGATCGGGCGGTCCATGAGGGGGGCGGCTACCGGTGGCTACTAGCCTCGCCGGCCACGTGCCAGCAGCCTGCCTGAGGGGCTGGACGGGGGGGGGGGGCTCGCACGCGTCCTGCTCGAAGGACCCCGTGGGCAGCCCGTCTGCCCCGGGTGCTCTGAGTGCCGGACTGGAGGGCCCTCGGCCCTGATCCAGCAGGGCTCTTCCCACGTTCTTCTGAGCACCTCCTCGTGCTCAGCAGTCGCGCGTCCTCACACGCCACCATTTCTGCCAATGCAGAAGGAAGAGGTGACGGGGCTGCTGGGCTCGGAGGCAAAGCTTTGAGTGCTGCTAGCAAACCTGAGAGGCGGAGCAAAGCTTACGTACTTGCCATAGCGGATGAAGAGCCTTCCGGGCAGCAGCAAAGGGAGGAAGAGGCAGGCAGAGAGAGAGAGAGAGAGAGGAAGGTGACTAGCAGCTGCCGGGGGGCCGCTCCGAGGCCAGAGCCAAGCCGAGCACCCCCACGGCCGGCCAGCGCTCTGACGCCCGGCCTTTCTGCAGGCGCCAGCCGCTCAGGAAGCACGCGCCTCTTGCGCACTCCGCACGTTGTGTCGCTGCCGCAACATTTTGCAACGTTTCTCCTGCCTCTTGGGGGGGCCAATGAAAGCCAAGAAGAGCCGGTCCCACGTGCACAGCTGCCCCCTCGGAGCCCCCGGGGACCTCCCCAGAGATGCCCCCCGCTGGCGGGCCGTTTCCGATCTGGTGTTCACACCCTGGGAGAAGCGCCACCTCCCGGCCACTGGGAGAGCCAAGGGGCCTCTGGCAGAAGGGAAGGAAAGGAAGGCTGGCACCTGACTGCCGAGACAGTACCTGCAGGCTTAGGGACTAGAATCTTGCATTTAACGGAATGCCACCAGAAGCTGCAGTCAACGCTCCGCTTTAAGCTTCCACAGTGCCCTTGTGCCACACAGAGAGCCCTGCCCAAGGCCCTGGACGTGGGAGGGGGGCCGACAGGAGACCCTTCCCCTGCAGCGGACTTCAAGCAGAAGAGTAAAAACCGGGTGGGGGGCCCACTGCAGAAAGCGCCGCCGAGCGCAGGAGTTGCCACTTACTCCACATCGCGTTTGCGGATCGTCCGGCCGGCTCCCATGACGTCGGCGACCTTGGAGACGAGCGGGTCGTAGTTCATGCTCGCCACAGCCACGACCTCGTCACTCCTGAAAGAGATGGGGGGGGGGGAGTCAGGTGCCGTGGGCAACGCTGCTGCTGGGGGAGCAAGAATGCCCCCGAAGGTGGCCCTCCCTGCCTGGAGCCTGAGGCAGCACGTGGCGAGCCAGGTGGGCATTGTCCCCCTAGCCCTCCTGCAGGAGGTAGGGTCGCGCGAGGCCCCCCAAACAGGCGGCCGGGCGCTTTCTGTGCCCTTGCAAAGGAGGAAAGCAAAGGCACCGGCGGTTCGCAACACATCGTGTGGAAGCGTTGGCAGGGCGAATGTCTCTGCAAGCCGGTCAAGGGCTGTGCAGCAGTGGACCTGAATTTTCACCTTATTGCTTTCCATTGGAAAAACACTGAATTCTTGTGCAATTCCAAGCACCACTCAGAATACTCCGAGCAACGTGTCGGAGGGTGCAGCTGCTCTGGAAGGCCCCCGGAACACGCCCTCTCCTCCCAAGATGTGTTCCGGAGGGGGAGTCTCCTGTGGCCTGCAGGACGGGGCTGCCCATGCCCGGCCTTGGGGAGCCGGTCTCTGCCACGCCACGGCAGGCCCCTCCTTGCAGCCAGGAATCCACCACAGGTGCTGCCGTCACGCCGCGCCCTTCGGCCGAGTGCCCGTGTTCATCAGCGTGAAGGGGGATTGGGACCCAAGGTGAAGACGCGTCTGGCTGCGCCTCAGTCTCTCGCGCGGTTCCCAGGGGCCAGAGAAACACCCGTGCAGCCAGGCCACCCATCCTCAGAGTCCATTGCTGTCAACGCCCCTCCAAATGTTCAGCCTCTGGCTCCCACTGGCCCGAGCAAACACGGGCCAAAGTCATGGGCGATGGGAGTAGTGATCCTCAGCTTCTGCAGAAAGCGGAGTCTGCGCTGACGGGGCTCCAGACAGGGGTCCCTCCCTGCCCTCAGGGCCATGCCCAGGGGAGCCCAGGGCCGTGTGCGTGCAAAGCAGGGGCGCCCTCCTTCCCTGAGACTTGGGGCTACAGCAGGAGGGGCTGATTTCCAGACTGGCTCGTGCTGTGCGAACCGCGCCTTCCTTGACCCACGTGAGTTCAGGGTGCGCCTCAGCAATGCTCTAATGCGTTCAGTGCGGGTAAGTGCAAGGTCTTGGACTTGGGGCACAGGAATGGGCATCACAGGTATAGATTTGGAGACAAGTGGCTGGAGAGCAGCACTTGTGGAAGGGGCCTCGGGGTGCTGGTCGTCTGCAGGCTAAACGTGAGTCAGCCGTGTGACGCGGTGGTCAAGAGGGCGAACGCCACCCTTGGTTGCATAGCCAGAAGTGAGGCTTCTAGATCGAGAGAGGCATTACTACCACTCTATACGACTCTGGTGCACCCACAACTGGAATATTGTGTTCAGTTTTGGGCCCCTCGTTACAGAAAAGATATAGCCAGGTTAGAGTAAGTGCAATGTAGGGCCACAAGGTTGGTGGCCGGTTTGCAGGGGATGAGGTACGAGGAGAGACTGAGGGAACTGGGTCTCTTCAGCCTGGAGAAGAGGAGACTCTGAGGGGATCTGTTGGCGACATACAGGTACGTGAGGGGGTGTCAGAGGAGGTGGGGAGAGACCTGTTCTCCCCTGCAGAGGAAGGCAGGACGCGCTCCAACGGAGCAAAGCTCAGGGAGCCAAGGTTCCATTTGGGTGCCAGGAAGCACTTCCTGACACTCAGGACCCCGAGGGTGTGGAATGGGCTTCCCCGGGAGGTGGGTGAGGCCCCATCGGTGCGGGTGTTCAAAGATAGGCTGGACGTGCACATGGTGGGCATGTCATGAGTGGAGCCGGACGGAGCCGGGGGTCAGACCAGATGGCCCGGGAGGCCCCTTCCGACTCGCTCTGTTTCTATGCTTCTATGTTTCCATGCTCCCAGAGTGTGTGTCGGTCTGCAGTGCTGGAGGAACCGGCCTCGCCATCAGGGAAGCCTGGCCTCGCGGTGGGATCATGCAGCTAAGAACCACGCGGGCTGCCTAACTGGAGCCCCCGGACTGCTCCCAGCGCAGGGTGACTACACCGCCCAGCAGGATGAGGCAGGCGTCCACCACAGCGTGAAGCGAGTGCCCGGACGTGCCTTTCCACGCAACATCTCCTGGTGCTGGGATATTTCTGCCGACCCACAAGCTGGCCTCAAAGAAGCACACAGTCGCCCAATCTCCGCCTCAACCCAGGGCGCTGCACACACTTTAACTGGTCGTTGCTGTGGCCCCAGCGCAGCAGCCGGTGTGCTCTGGGGGCGCCCAGGCAGGGATGCTGTGGTGCCGCCGTGATCGCCAGCCTGCCTGTCTGGGGAGAAAAGCTTCCGTGACACCAGCGGGACCTCGCCAAGTCTAGGTGTGCCCCGGGGGCGTCCTGCGGGTGTCACTGTCCTCCTTTTTTGTGGGTCAGTTTGTGGAAGAGCCACAGGATGTAAGTGTCCGAACAGGATGCCGAGCGTGACGTGAGAATGGCCCTACGGAGGGCGCGGCAGGGCAGGGTGCCGGCCGAGCTTCCCCTCGCCGGCCCCTGCTGCCTGTCTTCCTTTCCACTTTCCACTGCTCTTCCCCGGCTCTCGTCTCCCACAGGCCAGTGGGCCTCTGGGCTCTTTGTTCGCTCTCACGGGGGCGGTGCTGTGCTTGTGGATGGCTGCCTGGCAAAGCCAGCGCGGTGGGACAGGCAGAGTGCCACCTGGGGGCTCAGGGGCTCTGGGTTCCAGAAAGGCGGGATATAAATGTAAAATAATAATAGCAGTAATAAATGGATCATATTCAAACTGCAGTTTAAGGCCCTGCATCTGTCCTGCCTTCCCTATAACAGTTCTCGTATACGTGATGCGTGTCTTTGTACAGGGAATTGAGGGGGACGCATACACCCGAGTGGGCAAATGCACACTAGAGGGCAGCAGAACCCGTGCCTCTCAAAGGCGGGGGGGGGAGCGTGTGCCGCCCAGGGCCCCAGACACCGTGCACCCGGCCTGCCCCGCAGGGCTCTCCTCGTGCTCGAGCAAAACGGGGTCACTGCAGCACACTTACTTGGTGTAGAAAGCCACAAACTTCAGCTCATCCAAGTCCCCCCGAATGATCACGTCATCAAATCCCTCCCCGTGACCTGCGAAAGGAGAGAGGAAAGCAAAGGTGGGAGGGCTGCCCACACCCCCATGAGCCCCGTGCCACACGGAAGAAGGGAGGGCAGCTGCCTCCTTCGGCTCCTGCCCTCCTCCCTTATTTTGCCCTCGTCTGCAAAACTGTGGCTCTGCCAGTCGTGGGGATGGGGAGGCAGGCAAGCCCTGCCGCCCGGCTCAGCCGCCTCTCTGGCACGACCGCCAAACGCATCTTGGCAACCGCAAGGGTGGGAAATGTGTTCTTCAGCTCCAACCGAATGCAGCGGTCTGCAGGAAGCTAAATTCTGCAGTGATCAGCATGCGTGCGGAGCCTTTTAATTTCTGTGCTCCTGCAGAACTGTAGTGCAAGTAGGGATGTCTCAGCTCGTCGTTTTCTGGTTTGGGTAACCTTTGCATGGATTCAGGCATAGATCCATTAGTTCATATTTCTGCATTTCAAATGCAAGCAAAAAATTATCCTGCATGGAAATATGTACTGTGGTGTGTGCATATCCCCTCAAAACAGGCATTATGAATGCGCATTATCTCCACAGAAGCTTTTGTGTCTTTTATCCTCAAGTACACATTACAAAATGGACCCGGGAACCGTGTGTGGAGCTGAGAGCTGCAATCCAGAGAATGCAAAACCAGATTCCGACAGGCAGGTGAGGCCGGAACACGCAGATCCGGTCACTCTGCATGAGGCTCCCAGGAGGCCCTGCTCGCAGCCTTTCCCTCCAGGGCTGCCCCGCGCCATCATGTGTGCAGAGGCCCCCGGCGTCGCAGGCACCGCTGCGTGGTCCACGCCAGAGCAGCCCTCTCGCACGAGGCCCCCGCAGCCTCGCAACACGGGAGACGCGGCGGCCGTGGCTGGGGCCCTCGGATGGCCGCCCCCCTCTTACCCGCATAGCGGATGCTCCTGCCAAACATGGCCGTCCACAGGTAAGGAACCGTGTTGATTTCCGTCCCGTGTGCCAGCATGTTGAGTGCTGCGATGCGCCCTGCAAGGGTGGGGGGGGGAGGGAAGCGACAGCATTGGCCAAGGAGCCCGCGGAGCCAGCCGTTCAGGAGCAACCGGCAGGGCTTCCCCTCGGCCGGTTTCCCCTGGCAGCTCTCAGCTGGCCTGTCGGCACTTGCGCCCACCAGAGTGAAGATGCCAAATGGCGAGTACGCGATCCAGTAATATAAAGCTAATGCAGCCTAAAGGTTAAAATGCAGCACGGATGCGTCCCGCGCCATCACAGGGACACCCTCTCTTCCCTCCGCATGCTGCCCAAGCGCCCCGAGGACAGCCGCCCTCCGCAGGCCGCCCACTCGGAGGCCTCTCCAACAAGCTGGGCAAAGCCTCCTGGGGCCGGAGAGCCTTCAGGTATTGGCAGCGGACCAGATGCGGGTGGACAGGCCGAGCTCCATCTGCACACGGCGGGAGCATTCCGGGCTAGTGCAGAGGCGGCCTGGGGACGGGACTGAACCAGGGTTCAGCCTCTCAGCGGCACCCAGACTCTGCCCGCACGGTGCGGATGAACGCGGAGACCATGCGCCACTTCCCGGCGATGTCTGACCGGGGCCCGGTCGCAGCTGCCTCGGGGCTTGCCACTGAGACAGGGGAGGGGCTGCCTTTGAAAATGCTCCGAAACCTCGGCTGGTCTCATCTGAATGCCACAGCCAGGTGGCTGAGCGCAGAGGGGATGGCAGGCCCGCAACGCCAGTGGCGGAACAGCTCGCTGGCGCTGTGTGTGGCCCACAGCTCAGGATGGTGGGCACGGCCTTTACGCCCCAGTTATTTGCCCGCTGCGTTCTGGTGCCAGCGCTCAGCCAAGGCTCTCTGGGCAGGTTACACAGCCCATAGGAGCAGGTGATCAAAGTGCAATACGGATATCATCAAATCAGGAAGCATATCAAAAAGTACCAACGGATGAAGCAGACCATGAAGGCAACAGCAAGGACAGCAAAGAGAGAGGGAGAGAGAAAATGGGTGTGGGGAGGCCCTGGGCTCTGGCGCCCGGGGGTGGCTAGAAGCCTCAGCGGACGGGTCTGTCCTCGCCGGGCACAGGAGGGATGGGGAGGCCCCCGCATGTGGCGAGCCCGGCCTCCAAGGGGTGCCTTCCCCCAGGCGAGCTTGCCCGGGCTCAGGGGCGCTGAGGAAGCCCCGCTCTGGCTCCTGCCCCCTCCGAGGCACAGCCGGCAGGGGTGAGGAGCGGGCCTGCTTGGGGGCTGCCTGCCGGGAGGGGCTAGGGTGGAGGCCTGCCCGTTGCCCTGCTGCTCGCCGGCAGAGGCACGTTGCTCGGGCTGGGCAGGATCGCCATCCTCGCCAGCTGCTTGGGTGGGCTTGCGTCGCACCTGGCGCAGGGCGCAACGGTGCGGTTGTTGGCCACCGCGAGCGCACTCTCCGTGCGGCCACCCGTGGCACCCACCGTGCATGTGAGCCATCTGCCAGTGGGGGAAGTTCACCTTCTTGCCATTCCTCAAGGCCAGCGGGAAGACCACGGCGTCCCCAGCCGCAAACACGCCCGGGAGGCTGGTCTGCATCATCTGGAAGAAGCGGGAAGGCCCCTCAGTCAGGGTCCGGGTCCCCAAGCGGGGAATCCAGGAGCTGCGTGGCGCTGCAGACCCGCCGAGCCGGGCGCTTGCCAGGTGATCTGGGGACAGTCCCTGGCTTGCAGCCTCGCCCACCGCGCAGCAAGAGGAGGCAGACCACGTGAGCGGCCTGGTGCTCTTTGCAAAGGGAAATATTCTCCTGTAAATGTACTAATAAATAAAACTCCTGCTCGGGGGGGGGGGCTATGCCCTCCCCCCGCCCCCAGGTCACATTAAAAAAGGAAGATTGTGCAGCTGGGAAAGGTGCCTAAAAGGGACACCAAGATGATTCAGGGAAGGGTGCGGTTTCCTTGCGAAGAGAGAATCCTCTCCGCACAGCACCCGCGATCCTTTCCTTAGCAAGAGGCGAGTCAGGGGACACGACCGGCTGAGGCGCCCAAGATCACGCCTGGTGTGGGGGAGGCAGCGTGGGCGGCCTTGTCTCCCTCTCCCCGAATGCTAGAAGCCAGAGGGACGTTTGGGGAGAGGAACGGAAGGCCTTTTCCACACAGCCCAGACTGGAGCCCCCTTGGCGACGGCCACCAATCTGGGCAGCTTGGAAGGGCAGGCGGATGCAGGGCGGACAGCGGGCTACCCACGGCTGCCAGTCCTGGCACACGGCCTCCAGCTGGGGGGCTGCCAGCCAGGACTCAGCGCTGCAGGGGGCCTGGGCAGGGGGGTGCTGCTGGCCCCGCCTGTGGGATCGTGTGCGAGGCCAGTGTGGCCACCGCGTGGAAAGACGTGCTCTGATCCAGCGTGGCTCTTCTGAGGGTCTCACATCCTTACCAGAAAAAGGCGGCCACATGTTCCTTTTCTGCCAGTGATGTACCCGGACTCAGGGGCCTTCCCCGTGTCCCCATCCAGGCACTGGCCCGAACCTCCCTGCTTCACTGCAGCAAGCCAGCCGCCTCGGGGGACTTCCCAGCCCGTGCTCCGCAGAAGAAAGCGCACCTATTTTCCCCCTTTGTGCTTTAGAGGACAAATTGTTTTTGTCGTTTCTTGCGTTTGCATTTCTGAAATTCAGATCCAGCTCCTTCGTATTATGGATGTCAATGTATGTTTCAGAAAAGGGAATGGAAGACAAACAAAGCATCCCCTAACTTGTGTGTGTGTGTGTGTGAATGGGTGGGGAACGATCAACCCCAAACCAAAATTGGCTCCCTGAGAGTCCTTGCTGTGCGGGAGGCGTGCACTGCTGCCTCCTCCTGGCTGATCTGGGAACTGCAGCCTTTTTTACACCCACAGTCAAGGGAGTGGAAGCCTTTGCTGACTTGAACAAAGGAAAAACTACTGCAGCTGGGGACCTGAAGTCACCCACGTGAGGGAAGGGAATTTATTTATTTATTTATTTGTTCATTTCTTAGATTCACACCCTGCTTTTGATTTATGCCAACCCAAGCGGGAAAGGCCCGTCCCCAGATACTTTGCCAGGGCTGCATCCCTCCCCCACCCCCGCCCCGGCAAACCAATAAGCCCAAATGGGGAAAAACCTATGAAAGAGATTCAAATGGGGAAAATTACTGTGGAATCAATAAGATAAGACTGATTTTGCTTGGCACTCACTAAGTTTGAATTCAATACCAGTGGGACTTTTCTGTGTGTATTTTCACTTTGGGATCGAAGGAATGCACATTCGAGAGCGTTCGCACTTTGCTTCCACCGCCCGCAGGGCTGCTCCCGCCCCCCGTCTCCCCACGAGGCGCCACCGTGCCGGCCCGGCTCCAGCCTCTTCCCCGCTCAGAGCTGTGCCGCCTTTACCTTGTTCACAGCCACGAACCCTTTGGAGCCCACATGGATGCCACTCTGCTTCAGAAACGCCGTTGCTGGCGTCACACCTGCCGGAAAAGTACAGAAAGCATCGCTGGGGGAGGAGCCTCAGAAGCCCCGCCCTCTGCCCAAGCTGCCCCAGGGCCCCCTCCCCCAGTTCATTAGGAAATTGAGGGGCAATACAGAATCATAGTAGGGAGTTGGCGGCCTTCTGGAAGCTTCATCCGTCTGGAAACACCGTGTCAGAATGGGTTTTCCCAGGAATTCTGAGCTCACACACAAAACAGGACCATTCGGACAAATGAGCCAACCCCAGCCAGGCCTCACTGCGCAACATCTTTTAGCACATTGTGTTGCGCAGGACAAACGTCGCAACGGGCGCGTCCCAGGCGGGACGTGGCTCAAAGCCGCTTCAAGCACTTGCGCTGCCATGCCAGGTCACAAGAATTAAAAATCTAAAATGCAACACAACAGAGCACAATGCAAAACCTTCCACACGCAAACATCTTACATGGACACAGCTACAGCAAAAAGCAGAGAACAACAAAGTCCCAGACCTGATACCACAACAAGAATTACACAACCTGTCAAACGCCTGGTGGCAGCAGAAAGCCTTGACCCAGCCCCAGAGATGGCAATATTGGTGCCTGGCAGCCCTCGCTAGGGAGCCACAACTGCGACTGGGGCCACAACTAGGAAGGCCTCCCCCTTGCCCAGAGCTTCCTGTAAGGACAGACTCGGAGGAGGCTCCCCAAAGTCCCCCCGCCAGCCCCTTGCCTGTGCCGATGACGCAGACGTCGGCCCGGAGCACCTTCCCGCTCTTCAGCACAACCTCCTTGAGCTTCAGGGTGGAAGCGGAGAGACAAGCAACATCAAGCCACAGTGAGATATTTTATTTTATTTTATTATTCTATTTTATTTTTTTCCTGCTTTTGGATACCATTCACAGCTAACAACACTCTCAGAACACTTTACATCTTTCACTCAGCTGGCGCTGCTGCTCTCCACGCTGACAAGGGCACGGGACAAATGGCACAGCTGCTCTGCACCGGATAGACTGGACCATGGGCTCCAGCATCGGCAAACGCATCCGACTCACCTGGATGGCACCACGCTGGGGAAGGCTGCTTTCTACCACTCACACAGGCACCAGCCCAGTGCAGAAGGACCTCGTTCCGTTCGGAGGCCTGTCCCCGGAATGTCCGCACGGGCGGTACCCGACCCACTGCGCCATGCCCCCCATTTCCTCTGCTGCTCCCAGGGTTTGCTGCCTCCCCCCCCCACTGCTTGTGGAATCAATCGCTCGCACGTGCCCAAGGCAATCACGTGAGCAGAGCCAAAGCAAACCTTGGCCTCCACAAGAAAGCCAAGCTGGCTGCGTTGTCTCACTCTGCGCATGCACTGAGTCATAAAGACTCATCCCCCAGGATAACTCCCGTGGGGAACCGGACTCTTCCCAGAGCTAGGAAAGCCTTTGCCAATACCGCGCCCTGCCTGGGTGTTGGACCACAACCCCCCGATCCGATCCCAGCGCTGGCGGTGCTGGCGGGGAAGGTGGCCACTGCAACCCACCGTGGCCGGAGGGCCTGGGCTGGGTGGGCCTTGTGCGACGTGGCACCTTTCTCGCGGGGAAGGCGCTGGCAGCTGGACCTCGCCTGGGCGCCGTCAAAGCGGGAGCTGCAACTTTGGGCGACGCTCTCGCCCTCCTCCCCGAAGCTCCTCTGAGCAAATCTCAGCTCGCATCCTACCTTGCCCTCCTGATCCCGTAGTTCCGATACTTCGGTCTGCATGTAGAACTTCACCCGGTTGTTCTCAAACATCTGCTCCGGAGCAAGAGGGGAGAGGGGGAGACTCAGGGGCTTCCTCCGGCAGCCAGCCGAGCCAGACGTCGGCCTCCCGCGGGCGGAAGGCTGCTGCCATTACCTTCATGATGGCACGGCCGACCTTCTCCCCAAAGATCTTCCTGAAGGGCACTTCTTCGACTTCCACCACAGAGACCGAGTGGGCCTTCTCCGAAAGATAAGCTGCCACCTCCATCCCTGGAACATGGAGCCACCGGTGGGACATGGCGAGGCTGGTGAAGTGCCCCGAGCCACCCCGAGGAGGCACCCAGGACGCCGATGGCGCGGCCACAAGCAGCCCCGGAAGGTTTGCGTTCATGAAGGGCAGCAGAGCAGCAGACCCGACTCCTGGGGCCAAGTGGGGGTAGGACGCACCTCTGCGCCCGTGCAGAGCGCAGCCAAGCGGCCGTGACCCGTCCATGTGGACTGCGGCCACGCGGGCCGGCCCTGTCCGTCCGTCTGCCGCCCTGCCACCTTTAACGAGGGCCACCTCATAGCTGGGAAAAGGCCACGGGGCAAGGCCTCTCTCGTGTGGCGCCTGGTGGGGCAAAGGGAAACCACGGTGGGGGCTTCCAGGCAGAACTTTTGTGGTGTGATTGGCCTGCTAGAAATGGGCGTCTGTGGGGGGACGACAGTTTCCGGATGTCCTCATCTTCTATTTGCAGCCCTCCCGCATTTTCCTACTACTTCTTCGATCATTTTTACTTTAAAAAAAACCAAACATCCATTACGGGCACAGTCCTACACCTGCTCAGATGGAAAGAAGCCTGAGGCGCCTTGCATCCCCCAGCGTGCAGGGCTCTCCCCGCAACAACGCGAGGAGCTGCACCCCACGAGGAGAGCGGTGGAGGGAGCGGCGGGGCAGAGGCGGCCATGCAGCCAAGCCAGCGCTTCTCTGCATCGCAGGACCGGGCAGCCCCTTCTGCTGTCCCATTTACTGCTGCAGAGGCACAGAATGTATGTTTTCGAACGGGGAAAAAGAACCGCAGTGGAAAAGGTGGAAGGGCAAACCTGCCCTGAGTCCGCAGAAAAGGATGGTGGATCTCTGCTGCCCCTGCGGTCCCAATCCAGCCTGCCATGACCTGCCGGTGGCACCGCCTCCTCCTTCCTGGAGCTCTGTGCCATCCCTCCACTGCCAACTGTTTGGTGATTTTTCCAGCTTTTGTGTCCTTTCCTCCCATTCTCAAAGGCTGAAATGCTGCCTTTGCAAAGTAGAAGAGCTTTCAGCTACTGTATTTGGGGAATTTTTTATTTTGTATTGTATTTTTTGGATTTTTAATGTTTATATTTATTGTAATTTATATTATAATTACTTTTATTTATTGTTGTGAGCTGTCCCGAGGCTTCGGCGAATGGGGCGGCATAAAAATGCTTTAATAAATAAATAAATACATAAATAAATTTAGTCTCACTCCGTTTTCCTTGCTCACTGCCCATTACTGAAATTTGATCCAGAGGTTCCTTACCTAGAAACGAGGCTCCCACAATGACCACATTCTTGCCGGTGGCCAATTTTACCACTCGGTTGGAGTCTTCCAGAGTCCGGATAGTAAAAACATTCTCCACCTCTTTACCCTTACAGCTAAGGGTTTTGGGCCTGGAAATACATGAATTCAGAGAGAGAGCAGGGCTGAAAAAGAATTCTACAAAATGCGGGTTTGGTAAATGTTAAACATCTGCAATTTGGAGAGCGACATTCGAAGCTGCCACGCAGCCTGCAGGCCTCAGCAGCTGCGGTCTCAGATGTGTGCGCTTGTGAGGAACCCTCCCGAACACAAGCGCGGGAGCAGACATCTGTCCAGGTGCACGCTAAAGGCTGCTGCGCACTCCGTTGCGGGTCCTTGATCAGACACTATTAAATGCTGCGATGTCACGTCCCCTGCCAAGCGCGCCCTGCCTCAGGGCAGCTCCTGCGCAGGGCACCCGCGACCTCATGCTGGTCATCAGGTACTGTCCAAAGCTGACAGCAAAGGCACATTTCGAAGCTCCGCGTATTCGCAGCCAGAGAAAATGCAGCACTCCGTTTGCGGCGGAGAAGGGTGGGCTGGTTCCTTCGCCCTGAACAAAGGCCCTTCCGCGTCGCACAGTGGCACAGGGCAGCCCCAGATCACTGCGGTACGCATGCGCTGACGTGCTGTGGCAGGATCACGTTCATTCAGCAGAGAGCTCCGACTCACCCAGCCCCGTGCTGAGGCGGCTGGCCGGCACCCTGCCTGGTTGGACCTGGCACTGCCCCCCCAGAGCACTTGGCTGAACTCCACGGGTCCCGCTCTGGCCGGCCCGGAAGCAGCGGCGGGACTCACCGCCCGTGTGCTGCCCATCATGGCGGGGCTGCCGCTGAGCCCGCCCACTCCCCCCAGGGTGGCACCGTCGTCCCCCGTGCCCACGAGCCGGAGACGTGGGCCGCGGACACGCCCGCACCTGGCCACCTGGCCGGTGGCCCGGCAGCGACTCCTCAGCGAGGGCAGGCAGAGGGTCTCCCTGCGGGGCAAGGGGCAGCTCGGCGGCCTGGCCCCCCCTCGCTCCGCCCGTCCGAAGGATGCGCCGACTTGCGTGCGCCAGTACTTTGCCTCCGCCTTACGTGCTTCCGGTTGCAAGCAGCAGTTTGTTATACTCCATCCTGAACCCATCTTTGAAGACGGCCGTCTTGTTCTTGACATCCACGGCGACAACCTGAAACGATTCCCCGGATGGTTAAAAGGAACATCCGCAGGGAACGTCCCGGCATGCCTCTTCAGCCCCCTCCAAGGCCAGGTCCAGACCTTGGAGAAGCAGCTGGTGCGCATCTTTCAGTGCTGGCTGCAAGATGTGAGGAGGTGGGGGGGGCGTTGAGTTTGGACCCCCAGCTCAGATGCCGAGCAACTCCAAAGCTGGGACTCTGGGTGGCCTGAGACCCACCGTTGGGCGGCCCCCAGACTGTCGCCGGGCCATTTCTTAAGCTACGCTGCTTGGCAAATCCCTCATAAAGTTTCCTCTGCTTGCCGAGGCGGGACACGACGCCCCTGGCAGAAAGTGAGCGAGGCAGCTCCTGGGCCAGTCCTGGGCCGCTCCCCCCGTGCCCACAAACCCCCCCCCTCCTCCCCGCGCAGCCCAGGCGCCCGGCGGGAGGCAGGCACAACTCCCCTGCGGCGCGGAGCGGAGCGGAGCGGAGCGGGCGAGCCAGCCAGCAGCCAGCCCGGCGGGGGGCGGAGCAGGGCAAGCCCCCGACCAGCGGCCCTGCAGAGGCTCCCGGGCGCGAGCGCGGAAGGCGCCGGCAGGACCGTGAGGCGCGCCTGGGGCGCCGCCTGCAGGCGCAGCTCCACCAACGCAGGGGCGAGAAGCCTCTCTGGGCCCGGGGGCCCGGCTCCCCCGCGGGGCCGCATTCCAGCCGTGGGCACAGCCACAGGCAAAAGGGCGGGGCAAAGCCCTCCTCTCCCGCGGCGCTCGGCGGGGCTCCCGGCAGGCCGGGGCTCCTCCATCTCCTGCAGGGCCACCCACCCCTCCCGCCAGGCCCGCCGGCAGGGCCGCTGCGCTTCCTTCCAGGTCCCCGGCCGGCCGATGGCCCGGACCCGAAGGCCACACGCCCGGCGTGGCAGCGCCTCTGCTGGCCAGCCCCAGCGCGCTCGCCCTGCTCCTTCTTTGGGCCAGAGAAGGCGGCGGCCGGCAGCTCGCTGTGCCCCCGCCGGTGGGTGGGGGCAGGAGGAAGTGCCTGCTGACGACCCCCGCCCACCGGCCACTGGGAACAGCTACAGGGAGGGGGGCCACTTGGCGCTCCCAGAAGAACCCTGGGAGGCTGTGCCCCGGTGGCCGGCCCGGGTCCGTGGATGACGATTCGCCCCCGGAGACCCGTGGGGGCTCGGCACCCCATTCACCCTTGCCATCCAGGCTGTGGGGCCAGAAGGCAGCCCCACCACCTTTGCCGTGGGGGCAGTACTTGACTGCACTCAGCTGCCCAGCAAAGGACCAGGCCGGGGAGCAGGGAGGGCGCTGGGCTGGGCTGGGGCTTGGGGAAGCCGGCACCCAGCCCCCCCTCAGCCCCGGCACGGACTTCATGGCTTCACCTTCCTTGCAGGGCTGTCAGGAGGACAAAATGGAAAGGGAGAGAAAGGACTGCGTGAGCTGGTTTGGGTTCCTCACAGGGAAAAAGAAGGGGTACACAAGGACGGACGGACGGACGGACAGGCAGCAGGAGTGCTTTCCCAAGCGTAGCCCTCAAGAGACTTCCTTCCTCAGGGCTCAGCAGAGGACAGTAGCTTTCTCCAGCCCGTCGCCGACTGGAGAGAGGAGTTCTTCCCTGTAGGGCGAGCGTGGTGAGCCGAGGAAGCTGCCAGGGGAGTCAGCCCGGCCTTCTCCGGCATCTTGGCCTCGCCCATTCTCCTGCCTTCTCCTGAGATTTGCCCCACTTGATTGTGTGCAGGCACATGGAGCGTGGCCCCTGGGGGTCCCAGCGGAGCAGCAAAGTTATGCTCTCCCGCTTATTCCAGGACAGGCATGGTGCTCGACCGGACCGCTCCCTCCCGGGATGGGGTTCCTCAGCCTTGTGTGCCTGCACCTCGACCCAGCCCGTCACTGGAACGGGGCCCCTTCAAGCTCCCCCAGAGTGGAATCTTGCCCTCGGCCAGAGCAACGCATCCTGCCCTCCTTGCAAGCAAAGAAGCTGGAGACGCGGCTCCCTTTCTGAAAAGACTCAAGACTGAAGCTGAAGACTCAAGAACCCTGGTGCCCTACAGACACGTTGTACTGTAAACTTCCATTAGAGGCAATGATGGGAGTTGTAGTCCAATCCTTCTGGAGGGGGGGCAATCCAGGGAACACTGCATGAAGCACCCCACACCTGGAGGTCTACTGCCCCCCCATAAACACATGTGCAGGCAAACATACCTGCATCTCCGTCAGGACCTCAATGTCGTGGGTGCGGAAGAATTCTTTGGGGCGCAGAGCGATCTGGTCTGCATGAGAATCCATTGACTGCAACGAGAAATGGCCCCGTCTTCTGCAAGGGTACCACTGAGGGCCCCCACGGAGCCGGGCCCCCCCCAGCAGGGAGACGTGACCTCCCCCCAGCGGCCCCAGAGACTGGGCAGTGGCCAGGAGAAGCGCCTGAGCGGTGCCGCGGGGCCTCCCCACTCCTCGCCCAGGCTGGAGCTGGCAGTGCGAAGGCGCCGGGGGCCCTGCAACCAGGCAGGGCGACCGACCGGAGAAGCCCTTGCTAGGCTGGGCCAGGGCTGGGCTGCTGGCTGAGGAGAGAGTCCTGATCCGAGGACCCCAAACCCCCCACATAGCCAGGAGGAGATCCGGAGGGGCACAGGGAGGCCTGCCGTGGCACGTGAAAAGCAAAGGGGTCAGGAGACTGTCAAACTGGCAGCGCAGCCGCCTGAGGGAGGGCGCACGCAGCGGCACGGACCTTGCTTAGCTTGGGCCGGTCGTAGGGCAGGTGCCGGTCCATCGTACACATCACGATCCGGTCCGAGAAGCCTTCTTGGCGCAGTGTTTCTGCACACACCAACCCAGCAGGGCCTGCACAGACGGCGTGGTTCTTCAGCGGAGGCAGTGGCCCTGGTGGCCACGTGCCCAGGGAGAGGCCTCCAAAACGCGGGGAGCTGGGCCACTCCACACGTGTGTGCGCGCGCGCGAGTTAAGCACCTGAGCACGGGGCAGCTTGCATGGAAGCCCCGCTGGCCAAGGCCGGCCACCGCCGATTGCTGCCCCCACGGCAGAGTCCAGCCCTTTAGCCCTGGGAAGCTTTGCTCGCAAGGGTCATGGGCGGGCAAGCGTCCCAGGGCCCAGGCCTCCCCCGGAGGGACCTGCACGGTGGCGGGGCGCGCACGAGCGCTCCGTGGCCGTCCCCACGCCCAGCCTCGCCCAGCCTGCCGCCCTCCAGGAGTGGGACTGCGATTCCCACCAGCCCCGCCCGGGAGCATCAGCACGGGAGGCGGGGGCTGCATCCCCAAGGCTGTCCAAGGCTGTTTCCCCGGAAGCAGCGTCGTCTCGTTGGTTCTTCCTGACAGCGACTCCTTCCCAGCACATGCTGCATCCCACCTCTGGGGGGGGCATGAGCACCCCCCGCACCCCCAGGGCCGCCGCTGCCGCCGTGTCTGCGGCCTGCCTGGCCCCTCCTACCTGCCCCGATGATGAGGACGTTGGTGCTGCTGACGCTGTGGTTGCTCAGCGAGATGCACTTGGCCATCACCTTCGTCCGCCGTTGCGCCTGGAGCGCCTTTTGGGCCAGTGAGGAGACAACGCTGGGTCAGCCACCGTCCTGCTGTGGAGTGGGGGCTCCCAGCGCCAAGGCTGGAAAGCCCCAAGGCCCCCCCAAGGCCTGCCCCCACACATGGAGAGGGGAAGCTCCCGAATGCGTCCCTGGGGGCAGCGATGCCGCCGGGCCCACTTCAGCTTCCCTGCCATCAGAGCACCGGCGCGCTAACACGCCAGCCGGAGTGCTGAGCTGGATGCGGCAGGCGCAGGCGTGCACCCCACTCAGCCGTGAAGACACCTCTCAGCCTCACCTGCCTCCAGGGCGGAGGGGGGCACCGGGGGGCCACCCGGGGCAGCTGCTGGCCAGCACCACTGGGCAGCACCCTCTCCGCCTTCTTAATTTCTGGACGCTCTTCTCATCATACCGCTTTTGTCCACCCAGGGCTTTGGCAAGGGGCTGGACGGGTACGTCCATAAGGGAATGTGCGCTTGCACAAATTTTTGAAAATGTAAAAGGTGCACATCATGTCTGATGCGAGACAGAAAAGAGGCAAGATGGATGGCCGGGCCAGCATCCCACTTCCCAGAGACATTCCTGCCACACGAAGAAGGCAAGCGCGCACGGCAGACGAAGCACCCGAGGGACGGCTTCTGGAAGTGCACCTGCTCCTCCCCACGGCCTGTGCCTGTCGCCTGTGCAGCGCAGGCCTGGCATCGTGCTGCACTCCATTTCCCCAGGTGATGCCAGTGCAACAGGCAAAGCCCGACTCCATTCCTGCCTCCAGCAAAATCCCTGCATGGCGGCCGCTTATCTGTCCCCCGTGGGCAAGAAGTCCCACTTTGCTTATTGCATCAGAAACGAGAGCGGTCTCCTTCACCGACAGGCGCATTCCTGCCTCTGCCGGTTCCCCATGACATTCCTGAACTGAAGGGATTTACTTCTGAGTAAACCTGCCTAGGTCATGTGGTGAGATTTTGTGCTGGGATCCTAGATCCAGCAAGGTAAAACCTTACCTGTTTGCTTGCTCGAATGTACACCTTCTCTTTCTCAATTTTCACCTACGAGTAAACATGAACCTTTAAAAACTGCATGTTCTAAGTTCTAACATCATTAAGATTCAAAAGGACTCATCACAAAGCAAAAGCAGAAACGCCCACCAAAGGAAAGGGGCCCGGGAAAGACCCGCTGATGGTTCTGGGGTGTGCCCATCCAGGTGTGCCACAAGTGGCGTGCCACTGGGCCAGGTTTCCCCTGCAGCGACATATGGTGCCAGCACAGAGGAACTCTGGGGACCCAAAGGAGCCGTCGTGGGCCTTCGGTGCCCGCCAGGGAGGGACGTGAGGGATCCCAGGTGCATGCGGCTACCAAACCCAGGGAGTCCTCACCTGAAATTTGGGCAGGCTGTCCAGCCCCGGGAAGTCTTCTATGTCCCCTGTGGCAATGTTGAAGCAGGCTCCGTGCCAGGGGCAGCGGACACGGCCTTTGGACAAGACCCCTGCAGAAAGGCGGGGAGGGAGGGAGCTGCAGGCAACATTCTCACCTGCCGCACCGTACCTGCTGCTCCTCAGGCTTCTGTGCATTTCTCAGAGTTGCAAGCAACTAACAGGATGGGGAAGGAGGCAGCCTGGGATGTGCACAACACTAAGAGGGCCCGGCGTGTTGCTGTGTCCAAACCCATGTCCACAAACACACCATAGCTTGCTAAGCGGCTATAAACTTCAAGCGGAAGCGTCTGGTTGGCCTCTGAAGACCAGCTTCTTTAAAACACGGCGTGCCAGGATGCTTACCTCTAGGATGAGGTTATTCCTGGCTTGTTTGCCCTGCTGCCTACCCTGAAAGTGCCCAGCAAGAGCAGCCTGAAAATCAAAACACTGGAAGCAAGCAAAACGGGCGGCAGAGAACCACGAGGGCAGGAGCAGGAGCAGGGAGGGGACGCGTGGCTTGTTTGCTTGTGCGCAAGGCGGCGTGCAGCCAAAGCCACAAACCACGGTTAACAGAACCCAGCGGATAACGGAGTTGCGCAAATGAAGGTGTCCCAGGAGTTCAATCGTTTCACAATATGCTGAATGCTTCTTTATCATGTGCAGAAGCGCCCATGAGCCTCTATCTCCTCGAGAAGCGACCACTCCCCAGTCCGGCCCTCCAGCTGCCACTAGCGCTAGACCAAAGCCATCTGGATGGCACCGGCTGGGAAGGCCACGTTCTCACTTCAGAACCCGAGGCAGATCTCAGGGCCGCGCTACACTGCAAAGCCAAAACGCCATGGCAATCGGCCATATTCTGCAATTTGCATGATTTACATGATTCAGGACATTTGAGCAATTTCGCCTGTTCTGCATCATTTGTATATCGGCTTTGTCACTGTGCTCCCACCCAAGCAACTTCAGTGGGAGCTCTTGCTCCTGAGACGTTCTCAGGACTCATTTCTGAGCAAATCCCGATGGCCCTGAATGTGAGAGAGCTTGTTGGTTTTTTAGGAAAGCTGAGATTATCAGAAGCATAATCATGCACCCACCATCACGTCCTTCCCCACCTCAGTGCCCTCCAGATGCACTAGACTACAACTCCCATCATTCCCAGAGAGTTTAGCATGTCTGAAGGATGGCAGGTTGAGGAAAGCAGCTCTACCTCACCTCCTGCGTCTCTTCAGTACCCCCATGAAACCCCAGAATACACGGGGACACCTCAAGATTACGCCTGGTCAGGCATGGACTGCGGGACAGACAACAGACTGACCTTTCACCAGCGGTGCTCCGTAGTGAGGACACTTGTGGCCCATGGCATAAAATTCCCCATTTTCTTTGACCAGCAGTGCCTTCCCACAGCCCAGATCTACCTCTCGCATCCTAGAAGGAAAAGCGTTTTGCTTAAAAAATAGCCTTCACGTTTCCCCAAAGCACATTTGAGTTTCATGCTTGCGCTGTTACCTGGAAGCACGGCAGAGAGAAGGCTGTAGTGCGGATGGGGCATTCATGCGGAGGGCTTCTGCGCAGAGTGACAGAGCTCTGAACCAGGAAGGCCCACCTGTCAAACGCCTTCTCAGCTATGAAACTGGCGGGTGGCCGGAGGCAAGGTGCCTCCCTCGCCTCCGCCTCCAGGTACCTCACACTCATCATATGGCCGGAAGGCAGCAGCAGGTCCACCCTCAGCTCAGAGCAGGATGCAGGGCCCCCATCCAGATTCTAACCCAGTCTGACCAGGCCTGCTTAGCTCCCGAGATTCGGCAGGGTCAGGCACAGAAGAGGCAGGCTTGGCCGAGCAGGGGCTTTGCACGAGTGCCCATCGGAGGGGCTGCTGTCGCACTTCCGCACTGGAAAGGGGCTCTGAGACTGCATAAAACACTCCCGACGGGCTCTGCACGTGGCCCCATTTTCGGACCATGAGGTTTCTGGTTCATACCATCTACCAGGGGTGCCCAAACCGAGGCCCATGTGGCTCTCTGAGCTAATCTTGCGGCTCGCAGAGGCTTGGAGTCCCCTCTGCTCCCCCACCGGCCTTGCCCCAGCTTGCCCTGTTCTTCTCTTGCTTAGTTTAAAAAGCCAGTTTCAGCAGAAGCATCTTGACCCACTTCCTGAGCGCGGGGGGAGGGGGGGCAGCTGCCGCTCCAAAGAGAATTTGCCTGGGCTTTGTGACAGCCCCGAAGGCGGCGATCCCACTGCTGCTGGTCTGCTCTGCAGCTCCGCCCAAAGGCTGGGTGGATTCTGACATCCCAGCAAAGCCTTCTCGGCCTCCCACAAAGCTGGAATGGCCAGGATTCTGCCTGTGGCAAGAGTAAAACTCTGCCACTGTTGATCAACACAACGCTTGCTTTGAGCGGTTCTTGTTTCTAAAGGTCCGTTTCTCCGGAAGGGCATCCCGTAGTTCATGCTGCTGGCATCTGCGTATCTTACCATGCACACGAAACAAAATCATACCCTGATAAGCAGGAACACACCTTCAAAGTCATGATAACTAACTAAATAAACAATATCTGTTCATGTCTTGTGGCTCTCAAACATCCGACTTTAGCATGTGTGGCTCTTCCGCTGAGCAAGACCGCCACCCCAGCACACACGCCACCAACCGCACCCTGGGCACAGCACACACGAAGCGCCAGCAGTGGCACGCGGATGCTCCGCCAGCAGAGCCGCTCCGGAGGCAGTCGCCCCTCTGGGCACACGGCGCGTCCCGGGTGGCTGGGCAGCCCCGACAAGCACCGCCGGGCTGCCCGCTGCTCCTGCTCCGACCCAGGCAGCCGGGCTGCTCCCAGGGTCCTGCCTGCCGGGGGAGTGCACACAAAAACCCAACGGCAAGAGGCAACAGGAGCGGCCGGTGGCCAGGCGGGAGGGAGGTCCGTGGAGCGGCGCTTGCCCGTGGGCCCCTGGAAGCTGGGCCCACCGGAGCCCGGCCTGCTTTCCCTGCCACACAAGGGGCCTCACTGCGCTCCGCGGCCCCTGCCTTCCAGACGAAGCGGGACCCCCTCAGGACTGCCAAGTGGAGCGGCCTGAGCGGGAAGGGCGAGGCAGGAGCAGAGGGGCTCCCAGCACCCTGGAAAGCCAGGTGAGAACAGCCGGGCACGGAGGGTCCTGTGCAGAGACCCGGGCCTCGTGTGCCACGCTGGTCCTCCAAGAGCCTCGCACGCCCGCTGCTTCCGCTCGGCCACGTCACTTCCTGGAGCACCCTTCCCTGGCCTGGCACTCTGGGTGTGTGGGACTACAGCTCCCATCACCCCTGCTGGAGTGGCTGGTGCCCTAGGTGGGGCCTGTGCATCCCCTGACCCCAGCGCTTCGGAAGCTGGCCACTGTGCACGGTGCTGGTGCTGCAATGCAGCAGGGGGCCGGCCGCTGAGGCGGCCCAGGAAGCTGGGGCCAGAAAGCTGCTGCTGCGGCTCAGAGAAACATAGAAACAGAGTGAGTCAGAAGGGTCTCCCGGGCCATCTAGTCTGACCCCCGGCTCCAGCCGGCACTGCTCATGACATGCCCTCCATGTGCATGTCCAGCCTATCCTTGAACACCCGCACCGATGGGGACTCCACAACCTCCCGTGGAAGCCCATCCACACCCTTGGGGTCCTGACTGTCAGGAAGTGCTTCCTGGCATCCAAATGGAGCTTTGGCTCCCTGAGCTTTGCTCCATTGGAGCGCATCCTGCCTTCCTCTGCAGGGGAGAACCGGTCTCTCCCCACCTCCGTGTGACACCCCCTCACATGCCTGTATGTCGCCAACAGATCCCCTCGGAGTCTCCTCTTCTCCAGGCTGAAGAGACCCAGCTCCCCCAGCCTCGCCTCATTCGGCTTCCCCTGCAATCTGGCCACCCTCCTCGTGGCCCTGCGCTGCACGGCCTCCAGCCTGGCCATATGCAGCTGTGTGGCATGAGACTCCTCCAGGGCCGCTTCATGCGCGGCCCCGGCCCTGCCAGGAGCTGTGTGCCCGCTGCTGCTGGGACGGCTTACGAGCAGAAGGGGCCCAAGTGGCAGTTCCGCATTCTGCGCAACTCTGAAGTGATCCAGGCCAAGCTGCTTTTTAGCCATCCAAGCGGGAGCTCGAAGGAAAACTTGTCGCCAGCGTGCATCCACACACCGGGCCTCTCCACTCCCCTTGCCGAAAGCTGCGCCAACGGGAGTCTTGCTAGCAACTCGACTCATAAAGCCTTGCCGCACATTTGAATTTGCCCCAGGCTGTCGAACTCCAGATCAATGGGAGGTGACAGCGTTTGTCCTCCTCTTTCACTGATAATTCTGGCAAGTGAACAGCTTCAGGAAGATACGGGAACTGGAGGCTTGGCTTGCTAAACTGTGAAAAGTACCGACATTGACCATACGTATTTTATACCGAGCCAAGCCAATGTTCTTGATCTCTGGGACACAGGGACCGACGGTGCAAAGGCTGACCTCCGCTATGGTGTTCCACCATCTTACAGAAATCTCATTCACTGATCAGAGGTAATGTGTGTTTCAAATGCTTTCTTACGCATCCAGATTTCTGCCTTTAAAAGTTGCGCTACACTCACTGCCCGTTGTCGAGGTCCTTCACGTAGCACACGGAGGCCTCGACCACGTCCTTCAGGTTCCGGTAGGGGTTGCTCGCCAGGGGGCGCTCCTCCAGTTGGTAATGCCGCGAAGTCCCGTTGGCCTTGTAGGTGATCGGGCTGGCCTTCCCGTTGGGCGACATCTCTTCTTTGGCTCGCTCCTTCTCTGGCAACACTACCTCGATTTTCACTTCAACTGCATGGGCAAACAAAGGCCTCGGTTGTACCTGATGGGCAGGTATCCCGCCCCCCCCGTCCCGTACTTGGCACCAGCCATTGAGGGAGGGGGGAGCTTCATCCGCCTCCAGGGACAGCTGGACGCCTCACCAATTTTTCCCTCGTCAGAACTGCTACATAAAATCTAGACCCACACCACGTCGCAGCACCTGGCCAGGAGCAAGAGCCGTGGCAGTTGAGCTGGCACACCGCGAGATCTCCGACCCGCCATCGGGGCCGTTCCCTCGGACTCTGGAGCGACGGCGTCACTCTAGAAGAGTCCCCAGCCCTCGAGGCGGGGCAGGGAACCGTGGGCAGGCGGGAGGCGTCCTGCCATTGGGGTGCTGCTTCGGCCAAGCGAACTTTGGGCAGCAGTGGAGCCACATACCCGGAGCGCCACTGGTCTTCTCAGGATTCTTCTTCATCTCGTTTTAATGGGAAGCAGACATTGTTTTGAACACAGACTGATGCTCATCAAGGCATCGTGCTACCCGCCCAAAGGAAGTTTTTCCAAGCAGGGTGGTGGACACTGGTAGCTGAAGCCCCATGCCTCGCTGCGTCGGAAGAGACACCCGCCTCTCTTCTTTCTCCAGCCAAGGCAGCCGAGCAGAGCAACAGCCAAGCCACGGGGCAGGGAGCAGTCCCTGCGGGGCCCTGGGCGGACGGGAAGCCCCCGTGGCCACAGGCCTTCCCTGGCCTGCAGAGGCTTTTCAGTGGGGCCATAAACCCTTCTGGCTCCGTGATGGCTCCTCTCTTCAAGCCCCACCCGTTAGGGGCCCCTGGGGGGTTGGGATGGGGAAGGGAAGGGAAGGGAGCCCTAAATGTGTCCCCCCCCCCGCAGGCCCATGGCCAGGGCTGCTTGCTGCAGCCACCTTTGCCCAGCCAGGGGATGTCCGGGACATTGCCACACCCCTGGTATCTCTGGCCCCTGGAGGGCCAGGGGCTCACCTGGCCCCTGCCCCACCCCTGCCTGGAGACTAGCCAATGCCTGCCTTCTGCCAGACGCTGTGCTACAGAAATTCTGTGGATTTTCAGGACCAGCAGGGCTCTCGATCGATCTGCTGGGCATGCAGTACTTTCCACAAGGCTTGCTGAGCCGGGGCTGCTGCCACGTTGCCCGGCTTCCTCAGACAAGCCGGTCTGCAGGCAGCCCAGCTTCACGCTCTCTTCTTGCAGCCCTCCAAGAGGACTTGCCAGCCTGGAGTCCAGCTCGCCAGGGGCTGTCTGCTCCCTTTGAAGCTGCTCTCTGCAAAGCTGCTCATCAGGGCCCAATCTCAGGAGCACTCAGTCTTCGGGGCAACCAAGGCTCTGGGTGATGCCGGGAGACGGACCAACTGATCTCTTGCCGGCTCCAAGCTCAGCCTTGCCTTTGCTAGGTTCCCACAGAAGCTTGAAACCTTCTGCGCATGGGCAGCCCATGGCAGAACACAAAGGACACACAACGGATGCGGCTCTTCCGCACAGGCGAAGCTCCCCACATACCCAGCCCTGCGGAGGGAAAGCCAGGAATGTAATTCCAACACAGCACGAAAAGCCAACTGCGGCCAAGAATGAAGTGGATGGAAAGGAAAGCGCTGGCGTGGACAATACCCTGCAAATTATTTGACTCGGTTTCTGGCCACCAAAGGCCAGCCGCACGAAGAACGTCTTGGGCCCCTCCTGGGGTTCACAAGGGCTTTGGCCAGTGCCCATCGCAAGCAGATTCCACACTGGAAGGGAGGCAGCGCTGGGGCCCCTTTGGGCCCGCTTGGCGTGCAGGCGATGGGCCGCATGTCGGTCGTAAAGGCCCGGTGCGGCTGGCGGGCGGCGGCGGCCCCAGGGCACAGCAGGCCACACGGCTCGCGCATCCACCCCAGCTGCACCCTTCGCGCCTGGGAAGCGAACGCGCCACAAGGCGAAGGCTGGTGCCCCGGGGTCACGTGCCTGCGGCGCACCAGGCACATGCTTGGGCGCCTGGCAGCTGCGCTGGGGAGCCTGCATGAGCCGCAAGGGAAGATTCTATGCTTGGTTGCCCTGTGGGCGGCTTTGCAACATGGACGGGGGGCGGGGAGCCTTCCTCCCCAGCTGCAGCCCCCGGAAGTTCCCCCCCATCACAGGAATTATTTCTTTATTTAAAGTTTTATATGCTGTCCAATACCAAACAGTCTCTGGGCAGCTTACAAACCATAGTGAAGAAAGTGAAGAAAGAAGCCACTTCCCTCAGCAGCGACGGACACGGAGTCTCTGGCCTGGGAAGCCCCCGAGCCCACCCCCATCGGAGGCCAGGCCTTGCTGGCTGAAGCCCCCAAACCGTCTTCCTCTGGCTTGGGCACCCTCCACAGGTGATGGACTACAGTTCCCATAAGCTGCCCAAGGATTATGGGAGCTGTTGTTCAGCACATCTGGGAGGCACCAGGGTCAGGAAAGCTGTGCCACATTTTCGCCCCCAGCCAGGTATCCTGGGCATTTCTGATTTTAGCCGCTCACTTGATGAAGTTCCCCAGCTGGTCATGCAACCTCAGCCAGCGAGAATTTCAGAACACCAAACGCAGCGGACAAAATCACACGAAGGCGCAGAAGTAAAACTCTGCGCTGCCAGCAGCTGAATGCCCCTGGAAGAAGCAGCTTTCAACCCGGCCTAGGGTGACACCAAGGAGGCGCCAGAGCAGGGAACACCAGGACTGGTGACGGGGGAGCAACCCAGGAAGCTGAGCGCGTGCCGGGCAGAGGTGGGGCTGAAACCAGCCCACGGCCCTGGTATGCACCTGTGGCCGCAGGCGGGCGGCGCGGGGGAGGTCCCTTGGAGACAGCCCCCCGGGGCCCCTGGCCCGCCTCCTCCCCTTGGACATGCTCTGCTTCTCCTGTTCCCGTGCCTGTTCCTAGTCCTGGTGGATGCAGACCTTAGAACCACGTCAAGCAGCCACCTCCATGAAGCCACTTGCGTGTCCGTTTTATGTGCCCAGCAGCACTATTTCAGAACGGTCGAAAGGAAGCGGACAAAGAGGGACTGTCTGCTTCCCCACATTAAAAAGCTTCTTGGCTCCACCACCCTGCCCTGCTCGGTAAAAGTTAGCAGGACAGAACATGTTGCTCAGTAAGCCCAGGAGCTAAACCTCGGCCTGATTAAGTGACCACAGCAAACTTTGCTCGCTTTAGTGTGAAGGCCATTCTGGTGCAGGACAGGGCCCAGGAGCATACCAGGGCCATTCAGGATGCGCCCTTCACACGCACAAATTCAAGCCTCTTCTACAGGCCACGCCTGAATACTCCAGAGCTGAGCTGCGAATGATGTTTGTAAACTGTGTGCTTTAGAAAAATAGAGTCTTTCAGCAATGCACATGCTGGAGAATTGTGCATTTTCATGCTTTAGGCAATGTAAACTACAGAAAAGCATGCTTATTTTTCCAGTTCAGACAATAATAAAAACTTCATGATCAAGAAATTACTTCAGGATGAAACTTGGAAAACCTTGCAGCCTCAAACCCCTTGGTTTTCCTAACCCTGTAAGTCTCTTGGATGAAAAACGCACTAACTATACATGGCCTTCCCTTCAAACAAGGAGCAGTCAAATTCTAAATGTTCATACTTCCTTCAGGATCTTCTCTTTTAGGGTGTGCAGAGCTGGGTGATATGGAAAAATTGTGCTTAATCAAGTAATGAATCAGTTAAATGCAGATTATTAATCAGCCACACACCCCCTTTAATCAGCTGACAGCCCCCATTGTTCATTTCGAGACCCTCTCATGATGCACTGATTGGATCCTCATTGAAACCCTCCACCGGTTTCACCTGGGGGGGGGGGGCGCTCCGTGGGCCGGTGCATATTTACCAAGTTCATTCCGTCTACTCTTTTTAAACGTGGGCTTAGGGTTTGTCCAGTCCTCTGGAGCGGCCTCAGTATTCCAAGATTTACTAAAAATCAGCCTGCTCAGGGGTGCAGACAGCTCCTCGGCCAATTCTTTTAAAACTCTTGGCTGCACATGCTCTGGTCCTGCGGATTTAAAAATGCTCAACTTCAGTAGATGCTCATCTGCCCCTCCTGCAGCAGGCGCCTTGTCCAGAGTGCGTCCCACCTACTGTCCCGACGACGCGGAGCCCTTTCAGTGCGACTGCAGCAGTTTTGAGGATGCGAGAAAAGCAACTAGAACAGCCCAAAGGCTGCCCCGGGGAGCGCCCTGCCTTGCGCCAAGGCCGGAATGGGGGCCCGGGCAGGGCACACGAACTGTCGCGCCCCCACGCAAATGGGTCCCAGCCGCTCCCTTCCGGAGGCACGCGGCTTCTGATCCAGGCAGTGGTGTGTGGCCAGCATGACTGACGGAGGCAGACAGCCGGGGTCGTCGTCATGTCGTCCGGCCCCCCTGGAGACCACCCTAGCTGGTGGCCGTTACATCTCCTGCACCGCTCGAAGGAGGCCTTCCTTCTTGACACATCTGCTGCACAGATGGCGGTGGGGCGAGCCAGCCCCCCGCCCGGCCAGGGTGTGCCAGGCAAGGAAAGGCACAGGCCGGCCTGGGAGGGAGCAGGTCCCTTTGGACTCCGAGGGGCTGGCTCCTGAGCAGGCACGTCTGTGTGCCATTTGCACGTGCACACACAGCACGTCAGCTTCCATTCGGGCCGTGCGGGGTGGCTGCCCTTGTGCTCCCCGCCTTCTCCCTCCGCAAGTTGCAGGGAGCCAGGCCAGCATGGGTTGCTGGCCCTTTGCTTTGGCTCAGGCGGGGCACAGGAGCAGGCGACGCCACGAGAGGGCCACGGAGCAGGCCGCGGGGGCTAGCAGTGGGCAGGCATGCTGGCAAGTGCTGTGGCACCCCCCCCCCCCCCACACACACACACTAATTCTGGTCCTGCCCAGAATAGCCCCTCCATAAAACTACTGAAACCTACACCCAGCCCGAGATGTTTCAACATACGCACCATTCCATTGGGAGCATCAGCTGGAAGTGTTCCCAGTGCCCATATTTCCAAAGGACAGAGCGAGTGGCTCGTGTTGTGAGCAGTAAACCA